CAGCTTGTTTGACAGGAGGAGAAGAAGGAGGAGCACAAGACATGTATTGATATTTTATCTATGAGGAGGAGTGATGACCGTAAAAAGGGCAGGGGTACCTGGAAATACTTCACTTAAATGCCGCTGTTATCCAGAAACCAGCAAAACTCTTTTCCCTACCACACCATCTGCCATGGACGTAATTTTCACTTTAGAAGGGGGTGAGTGGGGGTGTCTTTACAGTATGTTCTAATGGGAAACAAGCTTCAACACAAACAGTTGTTTTCTGCTTGGTCCTAGAGCTCAACCAGTGTCAATTGAATATAGCGTAATATTGTTTTTGGATGCTAAAAAGTGCAGGGGTCAAAACTTGACTTTGGAAAAAGTGGGGGGGACAGCCCCCCCCCCCCCAAAATTACGTCCATGCCATCTGCTATAATTGTTTCTGCTCACTGACGACGTAGATTGGTTTGTTTTCGCTGTTTAGTGGTCTAAAGTCTGGCCAACCAGTGTAACATTTAATCAACAATGGTACTAACTGCTTTTTATCCTAGTTCAAAATGTGTCCTCACTAGTCTTTAAAAATAAAATCATAAACACAACAGTAGAAATTATATAAGCTTTAATAACAACTGCACTGTGGAATTGATTTAGAGAAACTCATTTTATAAACTTGAATTTTAGCTGTTTCTTGTAAAGCATATTTTGAAATTGTAAAATAAAAAAAAATAAAAATTTTTAGATATTCAAACATTGTGATCGGCAGAAGCTTTTCCGGTTCGCGCCTCACTTTTTTTTATGGCAGTGGCCCAAAACGATCTCCTAACCCATGGATTTTCTGCTTCCTGATCACGTGATGTGTGACGTACGTGGATGAAGATCGGCTTTAGAGCTGTTTGTTCTCACGGTGCGGGGGCCCGTTCTGACACCCACACAGTAAAAAAAAGTTCAAACGACGACTTTAGTCGTCATTGGCAGTGAATGAGTTAAAAGGGAGTTTTTCTCTCCACTGTCACTGCATGCTTGCTTAGTATGAGGTTTGCTGCAAACTCTTGACACTAGTCAGTGACTCGATGCAACCTGCTGGGTTCCTTAGATAGGAAACTTTTTACCCCCGTGGCAACCTTGTTACGAATACTCAGGAACCTGAAAAAGTATATTCGCAATGTTGGGAACATTTAAAATAGTGGTTGAAAGAATTTCTAATTAAGCCAGAGTCAATTTAGTTTCATATTCCAAAAAAATGTCTTTAAGATGTTTGGTGGCTTAAACTTTCTCTTGAAATGTGACTATTATTGTAAGATGTTATGTACCCATAATTTCACCCCGCATTGTGCTACCTTGTGGAATAATCGAGTAATTGTTTCATACAGAAAGTCTGTTCAACCAGCAGTGGCTTGACCAAGAAATTATCTTTCTACATGATATTATGGATTAAAAATGGTGAAATATTACAAGTACAAGATTTTAAATACACATTTATGATATTCAATGTTCCCTTACGGAATATAAGAAAATATGTAAATCCATACCAGTGGCTTTGATACAAGTGATAAAAAACACAACTCTCTTCTCTAATGTTCAAACCCAACTTCCTAATTTAACAATAGTATTAAACATTACAGACAGAAAATGTGAAAATAAACTTTTAAACGGAGCCTTTAAAGGATATATCTATCATGATAAAGATTAAAACTAAAAATATTAGGAAATCCAAGAATTGTAGAAAACCATCTAAAAAATTTAAATGTCCAATAGCACCCAAAGTAAAATAAATGCTATTTAAGATTGCTAACAACTATAACCCATCAGCAGAGACACAGGAGTAGATTTAGTTTTGAAGTTGACCCTAGTGACTTCTGTCATGAAAGCCCTGAAGGAACAGAACACTTATTTTTCAGCTGTCCTGCTAGTAATAAGTTTTGTGAAGAAGTTCATTGTTGGTTAAGAAATCAAATCAGAGGGCGGTGCCTTTTTTTTTAAAATTATATATATATATTTTGGTTCTTTTTTATTGTTAACATTGACACCTGGCATGGTTCAATATTTGTTTCCACGAAAAAGTGTAAAAAGCACTTATTGTCAATTTAAAAAAGAGGCACCTTTTCACCGTTTAGCTAGCTGAGCAAAGATACGCGGGAGGTGTCTTCAATACATAGTAAGGGGCGGGGGCTATACATTTTTCAGGAACCCGGAAAAATAATTTCTAATTAATATTAAATGAACTATAAAAACGCTCAGAAATTTTGATGGGGGTAGCTTAATAAAAAAATAAATGACAGTGTGCTCCTTTAAACATCCTACTACAGCAGACTAAGCGAGTTGTCCAGTAATTGGAAGGTTGCTGGTCCGATCCCGGCTCCGACCAGATAATGCCACTGCGTTGGCCGAGACACCCACATTGGCTACTGGTGGTGTTTGCCTGCCTCTCCTGTCAGTGCGCTCCAGGGCAGCTGTGGTTACATCGTAGCTTATCACGTGTGAATGTGGTGTGAAGCGCCTTGGGGGCTTGTAGAACCCTAAAGCGGCGCTATACAAATACACCTGTTTACGATTAATCCCAGTAAGAACGGAAACAAATGATTTAATTTGAAAATGGTTTTACAAGTGTTAACTCAAATTCTACACAAATTTTTCGACGTACTCCTAAAATTAAGTTCGTCTCAAATATAAGCTGACCAGAAAACTGAAGGAACTTGATCTTGAATTTGAGATGAATGGGTCACGTGACAAAGGTGAGAGCTCAGAGCATGACCTTAATTTAAATTCTTGGCCTACTTTCAAATCTTGCTCAGCACCTTCACAGCTACCCTCCCACAAAAAAAAAAAAAAAAAAAAAAAAAATTCTGGTAAACCTCAATGTATTAAGCATAAATAAAACAAATAAAAGTCAAAACTGAATTTACGAGTAGTTTATTGTGAAAAGCCAAAAACAAAATGCTGTACCCTCATCAATACAGGCACACGTTTAATTAGAATCCCCAGTAAAGTAACTCAAAATTCACTTCATACATCTGCAACCCCAAAGTAAACTAATGGAGGTCCAAACAGGAAAAAAAAAAATCTGTGCATGTTTTAGATGCAACCCTGAGACGTCTTACTCCTTTTAATTTCAATTAGGCAAAAACAAAAGGGTCTATATCTAAAGTTAAAATTAATTTTAGCAACCTGTAAAATACGATTAGCAGTTACCTTACAGCTTAAAAATGGAAGTCATCTAAAATGCACCTTTATAAGGTTCCTTTCCAACTGGACGTTTGGCAAAAAGTCTTCTTTTGTGCAGCAATCTGTCAAACTTCTTTTCCCATCCCGTGCATGTAGACCTGGGAACACTTACCTTTCAGTTCTGTGGAAAGAATAATGAACAAGGCAACTGTCCTGTAATCTAATTCAAACTATTTCAACAGGTCCATCCTTGTAATGCTATTTTAGATTCACACTTTCTAAACATCTCACGTTTAAACTCATGTAATTATGATAAAAAATATTGCTTTGATGGATTATCAAATTTTAGCCATGTTCCTTTAAGAAAACACGTTCAGCTAAACAAAATAAAACAAACTGAACATTAGTTCTCTCCAAAATAAATAATTCACACTGGTCATAATATTCAATCTATTACTTGTTTTAACATCTTACAAATGGGTTCAGTGCTCTCTTACAGAGTTCACGTTTTAGAATACAAAACTATTGTGAAGGACGCTGAACAGCAAAGTAGTGCGAGAGCATCACCAGGACTGTTACACCCGAATTCTCTTAACACCATTCAGACGTTTCCATCAGATTTAGTTTCCTGTCCCTCTGGTAATGTCAGCAGTGTTTACATTCATCAAAACATTTAGAAATGCAATATTTCACATGATAAGAATCAATTTCATGTGACAGGATGGTGCAACAAAAGTCGGGGATCAGTAATGCCCAGTGGAATAAACAGATCTAAAATGTTGAGCTTACTGAAGAGGGTCGAGGTAAACCAACTCACACTAGAAACAAATGCATTTTTACTTTTCATTCTTGTTAGAAGTACAAAAAAAAAACATCCCTGCAACTTAAAGCTTTTTGTATCAGAACAAATGTTTGTAATTCAAAATTTGGTTTCAGCCATTAAAACACACAAACAGTCCAACTTCATCTTCAAACTCGCAACCTAAAAGTGACCAAGTAAGCTTCTGTGCAACAACCATTTTGACAAATACACCAAAGGATGGGAGGAGACGTAGAGGCTCTACTTAGCCCAACATGGTGACGTGTAAACAATTCTGTGCAAATGTCTTGAACTACCACTCACTTGTTCAAGCGGCCACACATTCTTCTGAAGTGTCACGTTTTCTTTAGACTTTCTTTGCAGTGACGTTTTAAGACAACTTAAAATCTGACTGGAAATTATTATATACCATTAGTGGCTCAATACGTTTGCACAGCACCATGGCACACGTTAAACCTGAGGGGGGGGAAAAAAAACCTTAAAGATGCGTATTTAATCTTTTTAATAAAGAAACCAACCTGCTTGCTCTGAATTTACTTTGTAAATTAACATTTCATATCAGAAACCAGATCAAAAGACTCATTAGTAAGACGTGTGACGCTACCACCAAAGCTTTGACAACAGTGGATTAGTGAATGCAACAGAAATAGTTTCACAACAGAAACACACCACAAACACATTCTGGCTGTAGTTGTTTCTGATGACTACTCATCACTGGTTGAAGAACAACCTGAGAACAGCAAAATTATCTCTTGATATGGTGCGTTCAGTTTAACGATGCCCAAAATAGTCTCCAAGACATTTTACCCTGATCAGGACTGATGCCCATATCTACCAAAATCAACCAACAAAGATCTTAAAAAAAAAAAAAAAAAATTGACCTTTTCTCCCCGTAAGTTTTTGTCCATTGATGAAAACAATGAGCACTTCCTTAAAGAGCTAAACGGCATGATCTAAAAGGAGACAATTCAGTGTGTAAAGCATTTTAAATCTCTAAAAACACATTTAATATAAATGAACCAAACATGTAGAGGAATTCACCAGATGAGTGTACCTCAGTAAACATTTTATTACAACACCATCTAGTTTTTAATCAAAAAGCAGAAACATACAAACATTAAACAGAAAGAGTTGAGAGGGAGAGAGAGAAAACATCACACATGTTCCCTATAAAAACATCTAAGCTGAATATACACAGTACAGCGTGCCAAAGAAAAATAAAAAAGTAGGAAGTAATGTCTGTCTCTACTGTATCAGGGTCACGTGAGTGTTTTATTGTAACTTTGCAAAGAAAAAAGCAAAAAACGATTTTTTTATGTCAAGTAAAACAGAAATAAAAGAGCCATTTAGAACGTTTTTCACCTTTAGCCTTTTCACATGTCATGGTCTTCCATCCACTGCTCTTTTTCAGGCAGACAACAGACAGAGAAGGATGGGTGGAGAAGGAAAGGAGAGGAGAGATGGGAAGGGGTGGAGGAAGAGATGGTAGCTGACTGTACTCCTGTCCGTTCGTGCAGGGTGAGCAGGGGAATGGTGCGCTGAAAGCATTCCTCCTTTTTTTTTTCTTCCGTCCTTGATCCCCGTAAGCTGAAAGGTGTCAAAATGAAGGGTGGAGTTTGGTTTCATGCCAGCCCAAGAGTGAACACTCCCCCCACTCACCATTACATCTCTACACTAGACAAACTGTTCACCAAGGCTGGGTTCAATTTACCACCACTTTGAGCTCCAAAGGTGTGTGTGGGAGTAAAGTTGGGCAATATGTTAAGTGTTTCCAACTGATATTCGACGGGCGATATTTTAGCACAGGTGACGTTTATAGACGTTTTGTGGGCCTGGCCTGTATTGTACGCAACGATCCACCAATCAGTCATTCTTAATCAGTTTGCAAAAGCAGACAATGTGGGGTCCTTGTGTGAGATTGTTTCTCAAATGTCATTGGCCAACTGATGACTCAACAATGTACTGCGCCACAACTGCTTCAAAATACACAGGTTAGAAAAGGGGCCGGCACTTATGGCCATCAACCAATAGCTGACGACTTTGCCTTAGCGGAGGAGGTAACCAGTTGGATCAGGTATGTCAATCACAAGTAAGAAGTTAACAGAAGGATGCCAACGGAGGATCGAGGAGAAAAACACGTGAGAGAAAGTTGTGAGTTTTTTGAGGGGTATATTATGTTGTGGATGCAAGACTCCGTGTGCACCAACAACTTTATTGGAGGACATTTGCACACAGTTAGTTTTTGTTCAAGGTGGCTTTTAATGGTCAATTATTTTGCATTTCCAAGTAGTTTGACAAAGTGTTTACCGTTTCTAGTGTCAGCAGTGTGGTTGTAAAACTTAATTGTGGTTAGAAACTACATTATTAGGCTGTTTCAGTTATAATTGGCATGGTTAGCTTGTGTAAAGGTACACCACCAGATGAATTTGCAGATCTAATTCATAGAAATGAAAAATAAATAAATAAATAAATCACTCAGAGCCACCATTGAAGGGTTCAGCCAGTTATCAATGGTTAATAAATTGTCAAATCGTGAGGAGAATCTTTTCGGTTAGAAAATGATGCAAAACTCTAGACAAGAGATCTAGACAGACAATAACAGAAGCTAAATGATTGTTCTGCAGGTCGATTTAACCAATCTCCATTAGAGCCTCGTCAGGTCTGAACAGTCTTGTGCCATGCGGTTATATGGATGGGATGTTACTGCAGGGTTTCCCTTACATAGGCGTAGCTGGGGTGGGCCGCCACGCCTACAAGATCCCAAGTTTTTTTTGTTTGTTTTTGCGCCGTTTCCCGAAGAAGCAGCGGGAACTACTATGTTGTCGCTTGTGATCACAGCCGGCGGGCAGCAAGGAGGAGCAGGCAGGGCAAGGTGAAGTTACAGCATAAGTTACTGAGTATAAAATTAGAAAGGTAGCAGTGGATATAATGCTTTTTGGTTTACATGTTTCAATAGCATTAAGATAAATGAGTGTTGATAATCCTGACAGGGTTTCCTCCAGTGCTTATTAGGCCAGGTTCTCCTCCCCCCACAAGGCTAAGCATCACTTATTCATGTAAAATTTATTTATTTTTTCATGTCTGACTTTAACCGCATCTAATACTGTATTACGGCGTGAGCGCAACAGCGACAACTTAAGATCGATGTGTGAGCAGCCTGAGAGTTCGGGTGTTTTCATCTGAACCCTTAAAACCTCCAGCAGGCTACGCTGCACTATTGACGTGTTAGCGCGTGGCGCTAACAACTTAGCGACGTGACATGTCTCGGAGAAAGCGTACAAACACATTGGACGCTTCTTCTGAAGCGGGAAAATAACACCTCTTCTTAAGCAGAGCACGACGTCGCCTCGGCTCGTTCACGGTCGAGACGGACTGAGCTCGATAACATTGACCCAGCACAGCCACTGGGTCGTTGGAGCTGCCCCGTGACTGCCTGATGGAAAACCAGCGGGTTTCATCAGACTCGTAAAGTTTCTTGTTTTTGCTGGGGACCCCCTGTAATTTACCGCTCCCTCCTGCAGTCTTCCCCTATTAAAATTTTAAATGATTCTGTAAATTCCGTGTATCGACAGAAAAAATATCTGCCTCTGCCAGCTGCAGTAAATGTAGACTCCAAATAATAAATAAGAGGTGCATTCATCTGTGTATCTCCTTTGATCCGCATTAGTGATATTCTCAGCACCAGAACAGTGAAGCAAAGAAACCGATCCCTGAGTTTGTTAGTAATTTTATTTATTAGGTGCATCTAACCTGTTCTATTATTCTCTGAAATGAGATCAAATCAGTGCTTCTATGGGTTGTCTTCTCTCTGCACTAGAAAATTTTACTTTATTTAGAGACTTGTCATAATTTTCCCCCCGGGCCCCACCGCCACAGCTGGAAAAAACAAACAAACAAACAATGGTTCGTTTGAAACAGCTTAGACATCAACTTTGGACAATTTCGACTTGTCTTGGGCTTTCATTCGAGTCAAGAGCAGACATAGGTACCAGAGTACTTTATATATAAAATGGTGGTATTTGTGTCTTCTTCAACAGCGTATGGAGTGGCTCGTTGACTGGCATCCATAGCAGCGAGTACATCATGTTGTCCAATAACATGCAGGCACAGTTTGAAAGACAACTGTAGATTCTGTCCATGACTGAGATCTGTCTTTGGGTCATGACCATCCTATATAGTCACATATATATGGGATGGCTTGTTAAGCTATCACAACCCCCATTTGTGTTCTGATTCACTCAGCTGATTGTGAATTGCCCCCAGCCTTAGCATAAGCACAAAAACATCTCATGCAAATGTTTATAGAATAAAGCTAAAATAGAAAATGTAGGCAGCTGGAAATGATCAGCATGTACACCTTTCAGAGCAACGATTAACTGCTAAATCTGCTCAGGAAAAAGTCACTAAAATGCTTATTTCTATTTACAATAAAGTTAGCGGCAAACTTATGTTACATTCAAAAAAAGGTGCCCCTCCCCTGAATGCATTTTTAAAAAATTTGACAAGAGTTCAGTGAGCTCCAAATTCAGAGATGAATAACAAGAAAAGCTAAATAGTTGAACAAGAATCATTTTAAAATTGACTACATGACATAAATCTAGAAGCGCAAAGATATAAACTTCTGTTTACACTGCCTTAATGAAGCACAACATGTAAAAAAAGGTTCCCTTTGAAACTGGTGTAAGCAGAAGAATGTAGAAGTAATTACTTTTTCATAAGTCCACAGAAAAAAGGACAAAACAGCCACAAAGATAAAGGCACTTTCTGGGCCCAGACTCACAGAACTTAAGCATTACATTTTTACTTTAAAACAGAAAAACGTTAGGTCACTGCAAGTTAATGCTTTATAGTATCGTCTATCAAGCAGGCAATACAGTGGAATCTTTTCAGAATGCATGGTATAGGTAACTGGTGAGAGGCTACCGCATATTTCAGACCTGTCCACATACCTTACCACATTTCTTCTACACTGCACTTTACAGTGAAATTACAAAAAACTGGTAAGCAGTCTTTCAATCTTGAATTTGAATTTCCTTTTACTCATTCCTGAAAATTGTTTTCCTAACTAGTAATTTTGTCACCAACAAGTCATTTACTGATTAATAAAGCTAGGTCAATCGACCGGATCAGAGCCGAACCAGGGTCAAGCAGTCCATGAAGAACCTAACATCCAAGTGTTTCAGTCCAACGTCCGCATCATACAGTCAGACAAGAAAAAATTTACTATAATCTAAACATAATTTGGCTTTAAAGGGTTGCACTAAATCTTCTGAAATGGGGGAAAGTGACATTTTTATATGCCAATAATCTTTGAATGAACTCAGTTTGATCAAACAGACTAATCATTGGATGGCCAGTGGGAAAGTGGATAACTGCATCTAAAGTTTCATAAAAGTTTAAGCAAAAATAAAATAAACAACCCACAAATAACCACAACGACAATAATTCAGAGATATCACCAACCAGTGATTTCATCTGAAATGGATGATTCTTACCAACGTGTAGCTGGAACAGTTTGACTCTGGTTTGGCAAGAATAAATAATCATTACAGGCTTATTTATTTATTTTTTATTTTACAAACATCCTCTACTGTGATTAAAACACACAAAACAATGTAGCGCATTCTTGGACACAACAAATGGCCACAACAAGAATAAATGCATATAATATGATTATTTGGCACTCGACTGAAGTCCATAAACAAGCAACAGTCTATGTAATGCATGGAGCAATGGAGAATGGACTTCTATGGACATGAGATTGTGTCCACTTCCAATAATTCATTTGTGGTGGATCAAAACATTTTCCCTAAATGCATTTTGTTGTTCAGACATGACTAAATTCATTAAGCCCTGTGCCCACTATGGATCTCTTGTATTTAATAGCTTTAAAAAAACAAAAAATAAACAGATTGCAGTGTTCTGAGCTTTGTGACTAGACTGACCCATAGCCATTGTGCCCAAAACAAAAGAAATCCTGATGTATTTTTATTAAATGATATATTTAAGAGGTTCTCAGTGGCCACAGAGACTTAATCTGCAGGGAAATAACGTATAAGTGAAGGACAATTGCTTCAAACACTCATTGAGAGATAAAGGTCTACACTAAAATCACAGAGCAGATTAACAAAATAGTTACCAGGTTACATTCTTTTGGTTTTTCCCTGATCTTAGCGTTCAGCGCCTCCAACAGTTTCACCATCACTGTTATTACTTTCTAGTTTACAAGAAGCAAACGTGAAAATGTTACTTGAGTACATGTAGCATAAACCCCGCTCTGGGTTCAAACCCGTCCATTTTACTGAAAGGTTTAGAGCTGAGCGTTGATGTAATATATTTGGGGTGGAGAAACTGTGTGGAGGTGCTGAAGGAACCATGTGACCTACTGGGCTTTTCTTTACACACACTCACACAGCCAACTTCAGCACAACACAAACACCATTTAAAATGCAGCTACACAAATTTACACACAACTTTAAATGTTAGTCAACCATCTAATGTTGCCATGGAGGACGTATTTCTACAGAAGTTATAGAACGATTTGGAAAACAAAACACCCAAAAATGCAGCAGCAAGAGCTGGATTCAACTAAACCAACACGTTTAAGGGGGTTCGTTTGCTGCTTAATGCATTTTGTTAATAGTGTCGTATTACCTTTTAAAATCATTTCACTTAGTAAAACGGATAACTTCCTGGCTTGCAGACAGCACGTGAAAACAGTTTAAGTAATCTTTTTTCTCCTATTAACGAGTCGGAGTCGTGTACAGATTAGCTGTTGAGGAGCTCTTCAGAACTACTCTGTGATAAAATATGTAATGAGCTAAGTAAAGAGTATTTACACGATGAGATGATATTAATGGTCCAAACTACCAAGACCAAACAACGTTTTATTTATTTAACAATAAATATCGACATCTAATTGCGACTCTTCTGTTGTTGAAACCAGAAAAGAAGCGAAAGGCTTATAACTCTTATAAAAATGATGGAAACTAAGTTAGTCAGTTCCCCTGCTCTAACTGGTAAAAAAAAGCCTGAATGCTCCTATAATTTATCTACCATATATTAGATTTTTTTTTTACTTAATCGACATAATACATGTGGACATTGCAAAACTGATACTTATGATTTTGTGCAGCCCTAATACATAACAGGTTTGACTTTATTCTACATTTATTTAACACTTGAATGACTCAGATTTAAGAATATACAAAATACAAATTTGAAAACTAGAAACCGTCTAATTCCTGGAACCACAATATAACATGAATTAGAACAAGTAATTATAATAATCACTGGATAATCTCCAAGTAACTTCAGGAGGAAGCATCTTTTCAAACCAAAAACAAAACCGGTTTATGAAAGATCGGAGAACATTCCATAATTCTAAAACGTAATTTTTTATTCTTAGTGTTCAACGTTTACACTTGAAAATGTAGTTTTGTATGGTGAAGAAAGCTGTTCTAAAGAATAGTCTGGGTATGAACACATCAGAATTAATTTGGACAGAAAAGGGAAAACCATAATGAAAGAGACACTAAAGAAATCCAGAGTAAATATGCAAGTGATTGAACCTCTATCAGCAGTACTGTTACAGAAAAACAACTAACGGGACCAGAATTAAATAACACTAATAGATCAGAACAGACAAAAAGCATGATAACGTTCATTTTGTCATGTAACCTCAATGTTTTACAATGAGGTGCAACTTTTCAAGAGTCAAAAATAGTTACATAATGAAAACATTCAATCTGAAGAGAAGTCCACAAACATAACCTGCATGCATTCATATGGTACAATAATACTGTAAAATACACCCAAAAATAGCAAACTACTCAAGTTAGGTTCGAGAATAATCATGTATGACACTGTTTTATAGAATCAGCGGATCTGTAATGTTGACAACAGATAAAAAATAAGCTGTCCTAATTCTACTAACAAATTGAACATCATTCCCATCCACACTAAAAGACGTGATCCTCACACAAATTACATTTCTACTAAATACGGTAAAAACGACTGATCACAAATATGGGATCAAATTCCTGACATACTGGACAACCCATTTACCAGTTTGTCTCTGTATTTAAGTCCAAATGTGATTATATTCAAGAGCTGCAGGTGAAACAGACAATTCTGACACTTTCTATCATTCAAATATTAGAATAAGAGGATGCAGAACATCTATGTCAACAATACCACTACTGTGTTTAATTACATGCACAGGTTCTTACAACCAGCTAATCTAACTATTATACTAAATATACAAGGTAGAGACACACAGTGACCAGTGAACACCATAGTTACCCAAAGTAACAAATACACCCAAACTGGTTTTGAAATAAAACTTAAGTGGTACAAGTCCCAACCCTTTCATCTCTACTGAAACCCTAAGTTTAAGTTTAGCCAAGACAAAATACACCAACACACAAAGTGTATGTATGCAATATGGAGGGAAACAAGACTTACCTTTACACCTACCTGAAACCACACGGCCGAATTCTGAAGGCCTTTTCCCTGCTCACCACTTCCTTCTTTAGTCATTAAAGTTTAATTTGATTTAAAAGCCAGCTAACAGAGTAAAACCATGTTGGGTTTATTGTTAACTATAAAATTAGAAGGCAGTGAGCGATCAGAAAAGGTTTCAAAAATCTAGTTTTCCTCTTGGTGACTTTATAACAAAGTCAAATCTCACATTGAAAACAAAATAACACGACACCCACCTTCTTTTTTGGCTAACGGTGGCGGTACTCCCTCTCCCTCTCCCGGTCCCGGTCGCGATCCCGATCCCTCTCACGATGGCGGTCTCGTTCCCTACTACGCTCTCTGTAATAATCCTCGTGTCTTTCACGACTACGGGATTTATGTCGACGGCTCTTCTCCCGGGAGCGGCTATGGTCACGTTCCCGGGAGCGTTCTCGTCTGACGGGAAGAAAAAGTTTAGAAAGGCGTTTTTTCAAAAGCAGTTCAGAAGGGATGCAGGATGCTTATCTGCCGTACCTTGAAACTGACCCATAGCTCTTCGACTCAATGCCATGAAGACAATCCTGAAGGGAGCTGATGAGGACTTTACAGCGATCGTCTGCTGACACTCTGGACTGCTTGATCAGACTGATGGCTGTCACTAAAGTCTCTATAGCACTGCCATAATCAGCTAAAAACAAAAGCACAAGGACAAATAAAAAAATATACACCAACATTATCTGTTCTACTTGTTGTTTTTGGGGGTCACGTTTGTTAATGATGTGTGTGTGTGTGTGTGTGTGCGTGTGTTACCTGCGCTGGCATCAGACACAGCCCGAGAGATGGCGCTAGAGGAAATAGCTCTATTCCTGTTCATGATCTCCTCAAACTCTGCCTCACTCAGCGGGGTCCGTGATGACTCCATCTCTCTGCAAAGTCAGCAACAAAGACCAATCATCCCCACAGCCCAAACTAGCTACAGCGGTTCTGTTCACTTTCACCAGCGCTTCTTACCGGCCTCCAGGGCCATAGTCTCGTTCATATGGTGGCGGTCGTCCATATGGGTCATTTGATCCTGGGGGGCCCCGGCTGTCGTTGGGGGGCATACTGTTGCTACCGGGCGGGGGGAAGAATGCAGGGTTTACATGAGGAGCTGGTGGTGGGCCACCTGGAGGAGGACCCTGTAAATGTGGCGGCGGAGCCAAAGCCATTGGAGGTCCAATGGGACCAGGGGGACGTGGAGGGAAGGGCCCCGGGGGAGGTGGGCCCTGCTGAGGGGGAGGGGGACCAGGAGGAGGGCCATAGCCTGGGGGAGGGGGGCCTGGAGGAAGAGGTCCAAGAGGAGGCTGGCCAAATTGACCAGGGAAGAGAACAGGAGGAGGAGGCGGCCTGTCACCACGATTTGGAGGACCTGCAAGAGGATGAGGTAGGCCCTGGCCAGGAGGTGGTGGACCCGGAGGGCCAGGGGGACCAGGTGGACCTGGGGGAGGGCGTGGGGGACCCTGAATCCCACCTAAAAGATCAACAACAGGGAGACAAGTAGAAACAAACTCAGATTTTGGAGTGTTTACCTTTAGCCAACAGTTAGAGCTACCTTAAAGGTTTTACAAATGACCAACGTGGGGCCGACCTCTGACACTAAAACCTTACATTGGTCTACTGTTTTCTGTTCATACTTTACTGAGATACACTGCAATGCTGAGAGTGCGATCCCAAAGAAAGGACAAATGACACAGATGGAAGCAAATAAAAGACCAAATAAAGACATTAAGCTGGAGAAAAACGTGTTTTTAAACTAATTCAACAAGAGTTTTTATGCATGATTGAGCTCAATTTTCCCCGGCCTTCTCAGTGCCCTCAACGTATGTTGGAAAATGATGGAGGCAAAGAAATGACAGGTATAAACTACATTAAATAAGATGCAATCTCACATGAGAATACAGAGCGTTTACAAGTTATTCTACATCTCTTTAAAAACTAAAACTTACAACAGTTGCTACTAGGGGTGGGCAATTTCAACGATATAAGGTAGAAACGATATAAAATTGGGTAATGATAGAGTTTTTGGCTATATCGCAATACCGCGATAACACATGACGTCACTAAGATGTGCACCCTGCTAGGGCTGCTCAATTCATCGAATTTTAATCACGATTACGATCTGAGTTTTGAACGATTATAAAAAACAAAACAAGCCAATTATTTGCTCCTCCCGCTTGCGCTGCCCTGAGTTGCAAATGAAGCGCTCCTCCCACAGTGTTGCCAACTTAGCGACTTTGACGCTATTTCTAACAGCTTTTCAGACCCCCTTCTTGACTTTTTAACTTAAAAGTACCTAGCGAACACCTCAGAAACATCTCTGGTAACCCTTAGCTACTTTCTGGATGACTGTCGTTGACATTTCCTGCAGGTTAGCTAAACACTCCGCCTGCGCTCCGGACCGTTCTTCAGGACATTAGGAAAGGGAGTGATGTAGTGATGTGTCAGTCGCTAAAGAAACGGCCCTAGCCGGCTCCCTGTTGGATTAACCAGAGTTAGTGACACACACACCGTACCTGCGGACTCCTGAGCAGCTAAAAACGGCTAAATGTGCGCGTGCTAAACACACGTGCAGCTTGCCCCGATTGCTGTGAGACTGGGGTGGGGGGTGCAGCTGTGGTTGGGACAATTATTACATTAACTGATGAACTTCTAAATACATAGTTTATAAATAAGGTAGAAATAAGTTCCTCACACTGATAAATAATGACTAATCTCTCTGAGGACACGGTGCAAGTGCACTCTCCTACAGCACCTTGACACGACTAAATACGTATTATGCAACATTTTGTGAACATCAATTTATTTGCATTTATTTGTTATAAATGCCGCTGTATAATTCTTGCTGTCAGTATTTGCAAGATATTGGTATTTGGGTCTGTACTGGTTAGACTTAAATGCGTTAAACCAAGGTCTATAGCCCTTGGGTCATAGACTATGAGCTATAAGTATATTGGTCTTTTTATACTGGGAATCAGGAGTTCTTTTAGTGATCTTCTTGTTTCTTATTTTTGTCCTGATTGTGCCCTGAGCAGTTTTATGACTGAATAAAAACAAAATCAACATAAATTGAAAAATCGTCCTAAATAATCGTGATCTCAATTTCAGTCACCATAATCGTGATTATTATTTTTGCCATAATCGAGCAGCCCTACACCCTGCTGACATTGGGACAACAGAATAGCAGTGACTGCAAGCATGGAGTGGGCGGAGGAGGAGGCCTATATGCCTCAAGTGGCATATATTTGCCACATGAGGATATTTAAAAGCATGTCATTTTGACGTATATAAACAGAGAAAAAAAAATATCGCAATACATATCGTTACCGCACATGCTTCAGATTATATCGCAATATAGATTTGAGGCCATATCGCCCAGCCTTAGTTGCTACTTCCCTCAAAACTATAAATGACACGTTTGCCTAAAACGCTTTTTAAACAGTGTTTTAAATGACAGTAGGAAAACTATCCCTGAAACAGAAATCCTGAAGTTTCTGAGACACAGATCTACTTTCAATAAACATCTTTGACGTAAAACGAAAAGATAATTGATCAAATCAATCGAGGTGTATCACCTCTGCTATGCCAGCTCCCGTTCCTGCCCCCTGGCGGGAAGGGATTGAAACCCAAATCCATCAGTGGGCCATCTTGGTGCCTAACCAGATCTGGTCTCATCCCAGAGCCTAATGAGAAAAAAGAAAACCAATCACAGCTCTTCCCTTCAGCAATGTCTCGTTCCCAAAAGAAGACCCGATGCAGCCCAGCAGGGCGAATGTTAAGCAAAAGACAAGATGTAAAAAAAAGATTGAATGGAAAGCAGGAGTAAAAGGGGGACAACTAAGTTCTCTTCTAGTGTTTCAGTCATTGACTTTAAGGAAGTTTGGCAAGTTGAGCTTTTATGCAAAGAGCTTGTAAAGCAGTCTATCAGCAAGCAAAAGAAAAGGGTCACTTGTTCAACTGGAGGTGAAAAGGATCAGAAACCAATCCAAACATAATTGAGAACATGCAAAGATAAAAGTCCTGCCATGACGGACTCCATGCAGGTGCAAGTGAGGCTAATGCAGCGCTGCTGAACACATGTTTATGGTACACGTCTGTAACTATTTCAGGATCCACTGTCACACTGCAGGGAAACAGACTAGAAATGTCAGTTTAGTAGTTAGCACAACTGAAGTGTGACTAATCCGGACATGTTCACGACAAACAAAACGGTTCACCTGAAATTCAGATGACTTTAGTTAGAACATTCTACAAGGTTGGACTACTCTCTATAACCCCAGTTGGAGAACAAACAATATTTAGGTTTGGAAGCATTGCGAGTCTCAGGTGGACATATAAAAGCAACACATTTGAAAAAAAAAACAAAAACCAGCTTATTAATTATCTCCAACACCAACAAAAAATAAAAACTAACCAGGGAAATGTGGTGGTGGGCCTCCTGGTCCCACAGGACCTGGAAAGCGGTCTCCTCCAGGTCCAGGTGGTCCAGGAAATCTTCCTTTGACCCTTCCTCCCATAGGGAAACCCCCACTGCGGCTGCCCGAACCAGGGGGCCCGGCTTTGCCTTCCCCAGACATTTGCCCTGACTGGGTACCTGTGGGGAGGGAAATATATAAACATTAGTTAGCCTTTTAATTTAAATATTACATGATTAATAATTACAAAATGGAAAAGGAAAAGCCACAGATATTAAAGCAGCAATGGCAAACTCGCAAAACAAGCTAGCATTTAAACAAAAACCAGGGATGTTCCAATTAAGAGCTGAACGATTAACTGCATATGCAATTAAATTGCGACATGACAAAAGGAGATTTTCTAATCGCAAAGACTGCGATTTGACTGGCAGCGAATGTTTATCACTAGGGATGCACCGATGGATCGGCATTTGATCCCAATCGGCCGATAGCGCCCCTATCGGTTTTGATCTGAGTTTTCAAAATAGATCAAAGCAGACCGATCAGGTAGGGTTGTCACGGTAACCGGTGTAGCGGTAAACCCCGGTAAAAAAAGTTGACAATAATAACAGTCTTGTTTAAAAAAAAAACTATATTATCTTGGTGGGTTTACCGTGGCTGCGGTGTAGGCGCGGTGACCCTTACCAGCCACCGTATCTGGTAGAGCTGAAACAACTAATCGATTTAACCGATTATAATCGATTATTAAAATAGTTAACAACTTTTTTAGTCATCGATTAGTTGTTAAATAATCATATTTTACCGCATAAAGTCTATTATTACCACAATCTGACATCGGTTACAAGCTGTTAAATTTGCCGCCAGTGTGTGGCAGTAATGAGCCACTGATCTACCAGTGGAGCCGTAGAAGAAGAAATGAGCCAATGAGTGCCCTTGGTTTTCATGACGTAACACGTTACTGACGCTCATCTTGCTGTGACAGATGGCGGAACAAGAGGAAATACGGAAGAAAAATAGAAGCGACAAAACTGAAGAGAAACCCCGGACAAAAACCTCACGAGTATGGGAGCACTTCACTCTAGATGCCTTGAAAAGACGGGTGACCTGCAAAATATGCAAAAACCATCTAGCATGGCACGGAAGCACGACGTCCCTAAGTGAACATTTGAGACGAAAGCATGTGGGGGCTGATGCAGCAGAGGAAGAGCACCGCGGTCAAGTGAGCCGTCATTTGGAAGAGCCAGCCCGGTAAGTAACAGAAAATAAACAAGCTGGACTTAGTGTTTTAGCTGAGTTCGTTATAGTGAATGTTAAACATGTTTTTTTTTTTGCCGCGTCAGTCTGCGTTGTTCTACTTCTGATTGACTAGATGCAATCGTGAATCTCCTCCGTGTTGTGTATTATGCGCTTGCCAAATTTAGCACGTCTGTTTATAAGAATGTTCTCGTTAAAGAGAAAAACGGCACAAACCCATAACTATGTTCCTCATTTAAAAAAGGACAACTCCGCGGTGAAAAATATACAGACGAGCTGTGTCCAGGTGAATATAACGCAGCATAGTTGTACGCTTTCAATTTTTAAATACAGGAGAAATTCAGAAAAAGTCAATTTTAACTATTAAAAGGCTGTTTTACTATCTAACGCTGTAAAACGCCTCACAACACATTTTCATCATGTTTCTTAAACAGTATTACACAAAATAAACATTTTTCACATTTCTCTAGCTAATTTAAACACTCCCAATTCAAAGTTAAAACCTCATGAGCTTCTTACTTAAGAGCTTTTTAATAGTAAAAAAAAAATTAGACTTTTTTTCTGAATATCTCCTGTTGCAGGCTATTTTGTAGAACGTAACCCTCAAAATAAATGATCACTGTTAGGGATGGGTACCTTTGACATTTGAATCGATCCGGTACTAATTCCCGGTACCTACGAATCGATACCGGTACATAATGGTACCAATTTTCGATACTTTTGAGTGTTTAATATTTTAATTCTCTTTTATAATTAAATATATATTTTTCTCAATATATAACCATATTTGATAAATATCACGATAAATAACATACAACTGTTTGTATTTTAACATCGTCCTTGTAGTTTTATAAGTTGATAATTAAACTGAAGCAAACATCTTTACTGTGAACTAAATTTACTGTGTATCTTCATTCCTTTTGCCATCATTTTTCATTTGATTTTTCCTACTGGGAAGTTAGAATTTCCGAGGAGAAAGCGAACGCACCATTTGATGATAACAATGGTGGCAATGGAGGCTAACATATCAAGCTACGTTATCTTAAACAGTTTATTTAACTGCTGGAGCAGATTAAAACGATGATGCCTCACACTTAAATCGTTGTCACTGGTTTCATCTTCACTCAATCACCCGTCGCATTTAGTAAAGTGAAGCCAAACTTTAGAGCGCGTTCATGTTCTTCCAGTTGGAATTTCGGAGTTCCGAGGAGAAAGTGAACGCACCATTAGTGAAACGGAAGCTAACAAATCAAGCTAACGTTATCTTAAACATTTTATTTACCTACCGGAGCAGATTAAGATGAGGATGTCTCACTTTGATCGTTGTCGCGTTTCATCATCACCCAGTTACCCATCAAATTTAGTGAAGTGGACCCAAGATTTAGCTTTCGTTCTTTCTACCATGCTGCTCTGTTTACAACTGGCTCGCAGCGACCGATGACATAACGCTCTTGCGCATGTGCAGCTGTCTAGGCAAGTTCTCGTTATGAAGGACGGGTACCGAAACGAGGCACCGTTTCAAATGACGTGAATCGGTGCTCGGTCGGTACTGTGGAATTCGGTCGGTACCTTAAAAAGTACCGAATTCGGTACCCATCCCTAATCACTGTATATTGTTAATTAATTCAAATAATATAATATTGATTTAGTGTTGTAGTGTGTGCTGCTTTATTTTATATGTGTACTTATTTCAGTCTATTTGTGTTTCTTGTGCAGAAAAAAACAAGCAACGATGGACAACTACAAGGGGAACAAGACACTCACCCCCCCAGCAATGCATACTAGGGCTGCAACAACGAATCGATAAATTCGATGAAAATCGATTACTAAAAGCGTTGGCAACGAATTGCGTCATCGATTCGTTGTGTTGCGCAACTCTTCCAAAAGCCCCCTCCCCTCCCGCCCGCCGTTGCGCGCAGACCGGTGGAGAGCCGGCAGGTGTTTGTAAGAGGAACATGGCAGAAGCAGTGAGACCCCAAAACAGTAAAAACTTCTAAAGTTTGGGAGCATTTTCAGTTAAATCAGGCGAAGACATGCAACGTTTGTAGGTCAGACTTAGCATGGCACGGGGATACTACGGTGATGATGCAGCGTCTTAAACGCAAGCATGTCAGAATCATCAGCGAGGAAGGAGAGAGCTCGGTGTCTGGGTAAGTTAAAAACTTTTCAAAAGTGATTCACCCAAGCCCCGGATTATTACACAGGCTAGACATGCCCTAAGCTCGTTAAAAAAAGTCTATAAAATTGTAAGCGCACCGCTATTAGATAGGGGGGGGGGGGGGGGGGCGGGCTCGCACCGCTGCGAACCGGTTCCGCCGTCACATTCCCGCAGAAACTGGTTGATCACACCGGGGCCAGACTACTAACATGTGGCTTTACAACCACAATGTCCTCAGAAGCGAAAACGCTTTTAAAAGGGAGGGAGGAGTCCTAACTGTTGCTGCAGGCGTGTTGTGTGAGAGTGCAGTTATATACTGGTTAATATATTTTTGGGTTCAGTTGCTTTCATGTGGCCTAATGTGAGTCTATTTGGGATCATTGGAATGATCAGCAGCATTTCTTGATGTGACTTTATGGCAGTTGCCCAGGGCATCATCGCAAGGAGGATGGCATTCATTTACTTTTGTTTTATTTGGAATTTTTTCAGTCATTTTTGGAAATAGTGATTAATTTTGATTAATTCACAGCCTATGTTTAATTACATTTAAAAATTAGTTGTTTGACACCCCCAATTATAATAAATGTCTACAGATGAGATCAAACAAAACAGATGAGAATTGCCCTTAAAGAGCAAGTCACCCCCAAATAAACTTTTTTTTGCTGATAAACTAAATAAAGAGTGTCTAATCGTGCTGCAGACATGTGTCGTCAATAATTTGGCACTTCAGTGCATCTTAGTTAAAATTTAAATATTCAGCCTAAAACTGGCAGTGTTGTGCCATTGTCAGGTAAAAACTCTGCACTGTATTTTAATTTAAATCTGCCACCGCTATTGGCTAAGAAGTATGCTATGATGTAAACTGGTACATTATGATGTCACAATGCCGTCGTGAGCCTGAGTGTGTGTGTATTTGTTAGCGGCTCCACCCTCTTGGTCTGCCAGGCAACAGCATGTGTTGCATTTTTCAAACATGAAGCAGGAGTGGAGTTAGACTCTGGTAGGGGTTGACTTGCTCTTTAAGCTGTTTAACTTGGACCAAGCATTTTAGGTCACAGATAAGTGTAGCTTAGGGTCTCTGTCTATACACCTTATAAGACAATTTAGGTGATGGCATGTTGTTTTTCTGCTATTGAACTGTTTTCTAATAATGTTGTGTTTAATAAAGTGAAGGAAGGAGAAAAATAACGTTTCCCTAGCAGTTTTTAAAAATGTCCCTATGTAATCCGATTAATCGATTAATCGTGTCGAGACCCCATCCGATTAATCGATTATGCAAATAATCGTTTGTTGCAGCCCTAATGCATACCACTTACAAACTCTATTCTAAACATGCTGGTAAAAGACCTGACTATCCATGGTGGAAGGAGCAGGCTTCCAGCTAATGCTAAAAAATTATTCTGGACTGATATTTTGCACTGTTTAGCTCATTTTATACTGCTGACTGTGTTCATGTGCAATAAAATAGATTGCAGTCAACTGCACAATTATCTTATGTTTTTTTCTTAACTGAAATGCATCCATCACTTGTATAGGTTAAATAGTTAAACAATAACAAACCGATTAATCGATTAATCGAAAAAATAATCGACAGATTAATCAATTATGAAAATAATCGTTAGTTGCAGTAGGGCTGTCTCGGTAACCGCAAAAATGAAATATCGCAATATGAAGAAGCCCACTGCGCTGCATCATGGGCCACCGCGATTACTGAACTTGGTTCAACTCGATGCATGTTGAGAAGGATGGCTGCACTGGTATCAAAATGAAACGTTACTTCGCTCCTTTGGGAGCACTTTGGTTTTCAGTACATCAGCTGCTGCGCAGCCAGAGTCCTTGGCCGAGACAGAGCTGCCACCAGCGGCAAAATAAATAAATAAATAAACGCTCGGAGACCTGCTGAAGTCCCGGACAAGCACTGCTTCTGCAACCGTCCCGAAGAGAGTTTGAGCAAAGCTGGAGCTCACTCGCTACCTGCAGGAGGAATGCATCCACCCTAAAGAAACCCCCTGACATGGTGGAGCAACAACCGGGAGAGATTCCCTTTGCTCGCCAGTCGCACGCAAGTACGTGTGCGTTAGTGCAACGAGCGCACCATCCGAGAGGGTTTTCAGTGTTGCTGGAAATGTTGCCACCCCTCTCAGATCCACTCTCAAACCGTATATGGTTAACATGCTGGTTTTCCTTGTGGGTAACAAGGACGTGACCGAGCTATAAATCACCGTCATTCGTGTGTGTGAAAGTGAAATGATAGTGCGCCCGCCCCCCGGCGCGCACATGTAATTTTTTTTGCTTGATTTTAAACAACTAAACAAAATGGGGACTTGTTTCTTATTTGTTAGATGCTGCAGCCAAATTTGCATTTAAAAGTTTAACCTCCTGAATTTTGTTGTTTTTAAGTTCAGTCGGACTCCGACTGTCGGAGAAACAAACGTTACTGCGATCTGTGTTGTTACTGCCCTTTGATCTGCATTCAGTAAAGTGTTATAAAAGAAGGCACGGCAATTTTTAAGCTTTTTTAAATGTGTAAACATTATGTTTAGATAGTACTGCAATAAAAAAGGGGCTGCAATAATATCGCACACCGCAATATTAAGCCACCCTGAATCACCGCAGGAGGAATTCCTCAACCGCGACAGCCCTAAGTTGCAGCCCTAGTATCTGGTGACTCCACCGTATCAAAACTTTCTTGAAACTAAAGCTGAAATAATGGCCAAAGGAGGAGACGGCAGCGCTCAGGACATTTATTATCCCTCAAAGAAGACAAAGTGGGAAGTACGGGCATCTTTTGGATATTTGAAGAATGCCGAGGGACAGTTGATAGAAGACGGCTATCCTGTTTGCAGCACATGCAGAAAAAGTGTCTGTGAAAGGCAGCAACGCTTCAAATGTCATGACACTCAATGTCGTGACCATCACCCACAACTCTACAGTCAACGCAAGGCAAGCTAACGTTAGCATTTTAGCTAAAATGCGTGATCCGAGGATTTGGGTAGCGGGAGAATGCAACGAGTCGCTATATAAAGCAGCCGCAGCGCCGCTACCTGCATATAACCCGTGTCGCAGACACCCCCATGTTGAAATGACGCTATGCATTACGGGGCTCCCAGGGGCAGATAAGAGTTGGTCTCTCTACGAGAATAATTATGAATTTAACAAAGATTACTGCCTGATGACATTTTCCCAAATCTGCAAAGCTCACTGGAAGGACACAAACCGAGGACAATATTTTCCTGATATAGGGTTTATTACTCAAGTAAGGGTAAAAAGCAGAGTTTCCCTTACATAGGCGTAGCCGTGGCGGCCCACCACGGCTGAAATCTTACCGTCACGCCTACAAGATCCCAGGTTTTATGTATTTATTTATTTTTGCGCTGTTTCCCGAAGAAGCAGCGGGAACTACTATGTTGTCGCTTGTGATCACAGCCGGCGGGCAGCAAGAAGAAAGGAGCATGCAGAGCAAGGTGCAGTTACAGCATAAGTTACTGAGTTTGAAATTAGAAAGGTAGCAGTGGATATAATGCTTTCAATAGCATTAAGATAAACGAGTGTTGACGATCTTGACAGGGTTTCCTCCAGTGCTTATTAGGCCAGATTTTCCTCCCCCCACCAGGCTAAGCATCAGTTATTTATGTAAAATTTATTTATTTTTTCATGTCTGACTTTAACCGCATCTAATACTGTATTACGGCGTGAGCGCAACAGTGACAACTTAAGATCGATGCGTGAGCAGCGTGAGAGGTCGGGTGTTTTCATCTGAACCCTTAAAACCTCCAGCAGGCTACGCTGCACTATTGACGTGTTAGCGCGCGGCGCTAACAACTTAGCGACATGACATGTCTCGGAGAAAGCGTACAAACACGTTGGACGCTTCTTCTGAAGCGGGAAAATAACACTTCTTCTTAAGCAGAGCACGACGTCGCCTCGGCTCGTTCACGGCCGAGCCGGTACCGGACTGGGCTCGATAACTGACCCAGCACAGCCACTGGGTCGTTGGAGCTGCCCCGTGACTGCCTGATGGAAAACCAGCGGGTTTCATCAGACTCGTAGTTTCTTGTTTTTGCTGGTGACCCCCTGTATTTTACCACTCCCTCCTGCAGTCTTCCCCTATTAACATTTAAAATGATTCTGTAAATTCCGTGTATCAATAGAAAAAATCTCTGCCTCTGCAGTAAATATAGTTTCCAAATAATAAATAAGAGGTGCATTCATCTGTGCATCTCCTTTGATCCGCATTAGTGATATTCTCAGCACCAGAACAGTGAAGCAAAGAAAGATTCCTGAGTTTGTTAGTAATTTTATTCATTAGGTGCACCTGACCTGTTCTATTTTTTCTCTGAAATGATATCAAATCAGTGCTTCTATGGGTTGTCTCCAATCTGCACTGGAAAATTTTACTTTATTTAGAGACGTGTCGTAATCCCCCCCGCCACAGCTGGAAACATTCCTAGGGGAAACACTGAAAAAGTATCTGATTAGAAGGCTACTTGAGTACTTGAGAAAAACCCATAAGGATGCTAATGCTAACATCGCCGATTACATTCTTAAAAATTGCGAATGAGCAACGTGCCAAATTATTACATTTGGAGTCTAATAAAAAGTAAAAGCTGTCACCAATCAAAATAAGTACAGACATTTTAGTAAAGCCAGAAATCCGTAAGACTTCAACTCCACTGAGTTTTGGCTAGCAGCTATGGATGTAACTGAACTACGGAAGCTCTGCATGGACAAGCCGTCAAAAACTCTAAACGCAAAAAAACTTCTATAAATGGGACACACTTCTTTCCTGCAAATTAATTGTCACAGTTGATGCTAATACCTGTGCTCATTCAAGGGATGTGCTCCTGGCTGCAAAGCATTGCAGCTTCAAATACAACTTTGTCTTTACTTGTGTTTATGTAGACAAATAAACTAGATATGATATATGGATACATAAACTTGTGCTCCTGATCCGAGTCATTTGATTTAGACTATGTACCGATACAGAGACCCGATCTGATACTTCAGCACAGCATTAATGTAAGAAAAATGGGAAAACATCCAAATAATTAAGTTTCTCTGCCAAAAAAAAAAACAAAAAACCATGACTTGCTTATTAGGAAGTACACGAATAAAACAAACGTGCTAATATTATAAATATATATAAAAGTAACAAAGTTGCTCATACGTCAAATTGTTTACATCCTCATTATGCGGCTGTATTGAGTAACGCGCGTTCCCGTGATGGGGGGGGGGGGCATGCAGCACTACATCCAGCAGGCTTATCTAAACAAAGAGATGTGAACTGGGACTTAAAGCAACTCGATGAGTCATTGTGGCGATGCCCGAAGGGAAAAGGCCGAAGGAGAAGGTAGTTTGTTTTGAAGGCTGCTTATCATGCAGCTCTCTTTTCCAGCTTGTTGAATGCCCAGTATGCACACATAAGTGGCTGTTAAGCCTAATTTATACTTCTGTCAGCTCCACGAGGGAGACACGCACGAATGGACAGAGGCGATTTGTTCGGACTTCTCCGTCTCCTGAGGAGTGTTGCAAAGCTGTTCCCCACCAGGACAACAGAGGGTGTAGCGCTGTTCTGAGGTATCCTGTCATGTATCTGGCCCAATATAGTGGATTTTGGGGCAGCAGTAGCTCAGGTGGTAGAGCGGGTTGCCTCATGATCAGAGGGTCATGGGTTTGACTCCAGCTCCCGCCAGGGGTATCCTGCTGTTGTGTCCTTGGGCAAGACACTTCACCCAACTTGCCTGTGTTAGTGGTGGTCAGAGGGGCCGACAGCGCCAAATGGCAGCCTCGCCTCGCCTCTGTCAGACCTCCCCAGGGCGGCTGTGGCTACAAGTAGCTTACCATCACTAGCAGTGTGTGAACGTGAGAGTGAGTGGAAAAAGTGTCTTTGGATGTCTAGAAAAGCGCTATATAAGTTCAATGCATTATTATTATTAATAATTATTGCGTTTTTTAAATTTTATTTCCGAGAGTTTTTAACACGGACAAAATTGTCCCTCCTCCTACTCCACCTCTTCATGCACTCGCCACCTCTAAGCCTACGTTTCCCATCATTTCCATCCACGAAAAGAACGCTTGCTGCATAATTTTTCACTCCTCCAGTCACCGGTGAATAAAACGTTCATACTTTAAGAGTTTTTCCACGAGGTATTCTTCAAAGCGGCTCCGTGTCTGCCTCTAGATGTCTTCTTAAAACTAAGCCGTTTGAAAATTTCTATTCAGGAAGAATTAAAAGTTACATTTGTTGTTTTATACGGTTAAATCCAATCTTTTTCACACGATTCTCATCTTCGGAAAATCAAGTGATCGGGCCTAAACTCCAAACGCTTGATTGGATCGGCGCATCAAAATCAAAAACACTGACGCTCATCTCCACAATAGATTTGTAGCTACCCTAAGTTGGTAGACGTTCTTTTGCAGATCTGCCATTGTAACTTTAAACTTACTTTTCCGTGACTGCATCTCAAACTGACTGAGGGACTGTTTGTTGCACGGTGTAACGATGGGATTCTGTCCATGGAGCTCCCTCTTCGACAACAACTCCATTAACTTCCTGGATGATGCTTCTGAACCCACACACACGAGAGCAAATCTGAAGAACGCAAAGACAAACACAAACACATGAGTCATTTTAATAATCATGCTCACAGCAATCAGAGAAGCTGGAGACAATACAAGGGTTATACTTAGATCAAACACAAAAACAATGGCCTCACTCACCCTTTTGACTGGCCATTGGCTCTGTTTTCATAGAATTTAATCTCTAGCACATCTGAGATGCCTATTGAACGGACGGCTTCTGTCAGGTCTTCATCTGTTGTCCACTGTGAGAGAAAACAACATTTGAGTGATCTTACCAAATTTTCTGATGAATGCTATAAAAACATTTTGGCTGTTAAGATGACCGATACCCACCCACGTGAGGTTTCCTACATACAGGGCAATCCTTTTGCCTGTGTAGGTGTATGCGTTGGGTGGTGCACTCTTCCCCCCCTCCGAGCCACCTGGAGCAAGTGGTGCATCCAGGTACTCCCGGTCTTCAGGAGCATCTCCATTATTGGCCGAAGGTGAGATTACATCATCATACAAGTCGATCTGCTCATGAGCTGGGTACTCTGGTTCCTGAGGTATGATAAAATGTATGAATCAAAAACAGGATGTTTCTACTTCATTCTTTTCACTTTAAATTGTTTATTTACATAAAAAAAATCTACTCTATATTGAGTGCTTAATAAATCATTAGTAGTCCCCCTTTACAGAAACTATAATTCGTTTTACTGATTTGTATTATTTAAAGATCAACTTTACTTAGATTTTTAATACATTTGCGGTGGTCTCTAGCAGGAATAAATGCCTAGTAAGTCATACTCTGGGGGAAAAAAGCTCCGGTGCACCTGTTTCAGGAACTAGAAGTGGGCCAGATCAGAGGTGAGCTTCGGACGGCAGGGTTTTGTGTTTTATTTCCTGATACTTGGACATTTCCCTTAAACTGGCCAACAGCAATGCAACTCTACCACTGACTGCTTGCTGTGTGACACTGATGTTTTATCTCCACAAACTGCACAAGCTTGAAGGAGTTCTGCTGTGTGGTGGTGTTGCTAACACCAACAGGTAGCTTTTACTAGTTCCCTGCTGTTTACCGGATGCTAAAACAGAAACAACCTTTCCTGTTGCGCGAGTCAAAACGGGCGAGTCCATGAATGTTAAGTGACTGTGTGATGAAGATCTGTCAGGCTTTTCAAATCCTAGAGTTTCACCGACTATTTCCTACCAGAAGCTGATGCAGGAGATAGGTGTAGGAGACTGTTTTCATGTTCAGAAATAAAAAAAAAAAAGGGTTTTCAGTGTCACGTTAAAAATATGAGAGATAATGTTAAAATTTCAATACATGTTGTTACCAGGACACTGACTTAAAGGGATTAAATTCCTATAAGATGTAACTACTGTTCAATGGACTACATTAAAGTTGTTTTATACATTCGTGTGAGACATTTCAGCGCCGCCCTTTTGTTGTCTTTGGTACCTCGCCCTGGCATTAAAACAAATTAGCTTGCGTATGTCGTGCTTTTGTTGTAGGAACATTGAGGGATTATTGTTGATTACCGTTCAAATCATGGAGGCTGTTTGTCCCTCAGAAAGAAGGGGCGTAAGCAGCGAAATGCCCGGATGTACTGCTTCTTTACGCAGCCTCTACAAGCTAGTGCTACAAATGTTCTATCAACTCATCTCTAAATTAAACATGCACTTACCCAGGCACTGCGGAGCATTCCCACTCATTTACTTTAAAAGCGAATGGGTGGCAGCTCATAAAAATCTGAGCTGATTCACACGATCGTTTGGAAAACCTACGAGGTTAGCTCATAGTAGCTAACAGTAGGAGCATCTGTTTGACTCGCTGGTCCGCCATGGGAAACCACGCGGAGGCCTGGAAGGGAGCTACACGAATTAAGTGGCTATAAATCTTGTTTACTCGCGTAAAATTATACTAATAATTATGTACCCGTTGTATAAACCCTTGGGCAAAACACGCGCCTCGGTGAATACTTTTACTTCAAAGGCTACATTGATCTGAAGCTGAGCTGCAACCAAGCGCCCTGAAAGGCCTCTTCAACAGACTCGCATACAAATACGATTTTATCCAATTCTAATACCAACAAATGATTACAAGCCTCCACAAAACCAAACACGGTTGAATGAACTGCCGTGAGTTAATAATACCTGGCTGAATTCCTCCTCCACATCGGCATAAATGTCGATATGATCCACACCATCCGCCATTTTCTCCCGATCCGCCGCTCTCTACCCGCGCGGCGGTGCAGTCTGCAGACCCAACAACGACCCACAAACAAGCAACCTCAGGGCGCGCCCCTGCTGGCCGCTGTGGGTACACGAGTAAATAACCCACTTTTCATTCTAATAAGTTTCATAATGAAAATCTGTTTGGTTTGGAGACATGAAATTTGACACACTTGCACCCATCCATCCATCCATCCATCCATCCATCTATCCATCCATCTATCTATCTAATAATAATAACAATACTATGTTCTTATATATGTAAAAATATGTCCTTATGTATGTAACATAATACAATTTGTGTTTATTTTTAAAATATTGTTTATAAGTACATCTTGTTATCAAGTGGACCAGTTAGAGAGTTGCCAAAGTTGTGTGTGGCCAAATGTCTTCAGACCATCGAACTACTACAAGATTAAACATGTTATAATAACCATGCATGCGATTAAAAAATATTAATTATCTTCTTGTTTGTATGTTTGTTTGCTCCCTTGTGGGGTTTTTTAAATCAGCATTACAATAAACGTGTTAGCAAAAAATTAAGAATTTTTTCTTAGCTAATTTAAGAAAAACAATCACAGCTAGAAATATTTAATACGTCGTGATTTGGTCACACAAAAGACACACTGAAATATTGCATTTTCTATGATTTATGTGTTTTAACGAGATAGCAGCTGGTGGTGCTCTACGGGTTTAAAGATCTTTAAAGCTCGTTTACGTACAAATGTTTTATTATTTGGAGCCTAGTACTGGGAGTGTTGGACTGGATTGGAGTTGTATTGTCACAACATAGCCACAAGAGGACGACAAAGGTTTCAATTAAACAGCACAAAGAGACATCAACGTTCTATTGTTTCCCTCTTGATTGGTTCTTTCCTTTTGAAATTACTTAATCGATTCCGTTGATTTTGTTCCAGTAATTTCAGAAAATGTTGCTAAGAACAAATATTTAAAAACGTATCCTAATATTTCTAGACTTGTATCTGGTGAGCATGTGATCAAATAATATATTTTATTAAATTTACCTCAGTTCTGTCCAGTTTATTTATATAGTGCCAAATCACAAGTCATCTCAAGGCACTTCACATTACTAACCAATTCAATTCATTATACCAATTAGTAAAAAGTTTTCCCATATAAGGAACCCAGCAAATTGCATTGAGACACTGCCTAGTGTCAGTGTCTTTTACAGCAATCCTCATTCAAAGCAAGCATGTAGCAACAGTGGAGATGAAAACTCCTTTTAACAGGAAGAAACCTCAAGAGGATCTTGGATCAGTATAATCAGCCATCTGCCACGACTTACTGGGGATTGACTCACCCCGGCCCACACACAGCGCCAGGTGGGATATTCTGGCCACACGGGCGATATGGGCTGGATGGCATTTCATTACAGTTTTTCTCAGTTGCTGTGGTGCATTTCTCACAACTGGATTGATCTCTGCACCACTACTAAGGCTCTTCTCAAAACAATTAGTGCAAACTGCAAAACATGGTGGATAACTTGCAAAAGTGAATCACTTCATCAAAAAGAAAAGTCAGTTGTTGAAAATAAGTAGTCAATGCTTCAAAAGCAAGTCCCTTAATCAAAATAAATAATATATTCATCAAAGGCAAGTACTTATATCAATCAAAGTGTCAGGGCTGTCACAATTACAAGTGATTACACCGGCACCTTTGGTCACAAAATCAAATGGTTTGAACGTGTTCTCATTGTGACGGATTTCTTTGTAGGTGCTTCCCAATGACATGTCAAGTCTGGACAGCATGCACGGCATGTTGAAAACCATAAATTGTAAAGGAAAATCAAGACACTTCATGTGCACTCTTGATAATATTTAATCGAAACTGTTCACAGCATTGTGCAACTGGGGAAATACAGTAAAACAAATATTTTACAGCAAATATAAACTCACTTACACAGTAAGCCTTACTGCAGTAGTTATGAAACAAAAAAAAAAACTGAACAGACACTGCTGCATATCAATCATTGATATCTACACGCTCCCGTCTGTCTGCCCACATATTTTCATCAGCATCACAGGGAATGTCAGCTCTATCGATGCATCGGGGAAAGTATCTTCTGGAGTGTCGAATCCACCCTCTGCAGGACTCTGCTGTGATGTCACCACAAGCTGCATCCATAGCTGCTAGCAGGGCCATTTGGGTATGTGGATGCCTGTCATATACCTTCCACCTGCAGGAAGAGAAAAACTCCTCAGTTGGATTTAGGAATGGAGTGTAAGGAGGAAGAAACTCCACAAGCATCCTGTCGTGTGCTGCAAACCACTGCCGGACTACAGCAGAGTGATGGAAGCTAACATTATCCCAAACCACTACACACATTGTCCGATTGTCACCAGGACACACACCAGTTTTCATTAGTGTGAGCTAAGGTTCACCTGAGAAAAGTAATTTATGGAGATTTCCATGGAAACTCCTTAAACATAGGGTTTTCAAAATGGGTGTACAAATTGTTTGACAAGATGTTCAACAATTTTGAGTGCAATGACACAAGCAATGAAATGAAGACTATTAGTAGTAAGGACAATGACTATTCAGCCGGTAAAAGTATAAATAATTGTGACATTCATAATAAAATCAAGGAGAATGTGATGAATAGCAAGTCAAAAGTGACCATTCTTTAGACATTTGTACTTACTCAACTTCTTCATGTCCAAAGGCATTTGCCTTTGGATGAAATGAACATGAAACCGCCACTAGGTTGTGCCAAAACGACTACATGTTGTGGAGGTTGAACTAACTGTTGTGCAAAGTTGAATTCTGTTGTGAGTAATGCACCAAAGCAACTGAGAAAAACTGTAACCCTGTAAAGGGTCATTTTAGCACATTCTAGCTCAAGAAAATGATTTAAAAATATGAACAAGTTGCAAAATATCCCTTTAACTGCTGAAATAACAGGAAATATTGCAATTAGAGAATAGAAAAAGGTAGCGTGTGGAAAGTGGTCAGTATGTCCTTCAGCAGTCTAAGCCTCTAGCAGCATAACTACAGAGATAACTCAGGATAACCCAGCCTTTAAGATGGAGGCATGTTGGAGGCAGGGCAAGGGAGAGCTGTCTTAACCGACTGTACTCTCCACCTCCCTCTATTCCCCAACTTGTCCAGATCTGGGCTAACATCAGGTTTTAACCATAGGCCCTATCAAATAAAAATGTTTTAAGCCTAGTCTCAAAAGTAGACAAGGTGTCTGCCTCACGGACTAAAGCTGGGAGCTGGTTCCACAAGAGAGGAGCCTGACAACTAAAAGATCTGCATTCCATCCTATTTTTAGATATTCTGGGAACCACCAGTAAACCTGCCATCCGAGAGCAATGTGCTATGTTAGAAACATGAACAATCAGATCACCGATGTATGATGGAGCTTGATTATTAAGAGCTTTATATGTGGGATGAATGATCTCAAAATCTATTCTGAATTTAACAGACAGACAATGTAGGGAAGCTAAGACAGGAGATATGATCTCTCTTTTTAATTCTCATCAGAACTCTAGCTGCAGCATTTTGGATGAGCTGAAGACTTTTAACTACATTCTGTGGACTTCCTGAGAGTAATGAATTACAGTAATCCAGTCTTGATGTAATAAATGCATGAACTAGTTTTTCAGCATCACTCCTGGAAAAGGATGCTTCTAATCTTAGCAATATGCTGGAGGTGGAAGAAGGAAATTCTACAAACCTGTTTAACGTGGAATTTGAATGGCATGTCCTGGTCAAAGATAACGCCAACATTCCTCACTTTGTTCTCTGAGCTAATTTGATGTCGTTCAGATCAGGTGATTGACTAAGCAGTTTCCTTTTCTGAAGTTCTGGTCCAATGATGAGAACTTCAGTCTTGTCTGGATTTAAGAGCAGAAAATTTAGAGTCATCCAGATTTTTATGTGTTCAAGACAAGCCTGTGATCTACCTAGCTGATTAGGTTAATCAGGGTTTACGGATAAATATAACAGAGTATCGTCAGCACAGCTGTGGACGTTTATGGTGAATGATGATTTTACCAATTGGAAGCATTAATATAGTGCAAATAACTGGTCCAAGCACTAAACCCTGTGGTACTCCACAAGTAGCCCTAGAGTAAAAAAATATTTCTCATGTAGAGATTTCAAAAATGAAATAAATCCTAAATGTGGACTTAATTTTAGAGATTTCTAAAAAAATAAATTCAAAATGTAGGTCTATGTGATATACAAACGTGGTTTTATTCACTGTACATTTGAAAAAAAACAACAAAAAAAAACATGAAGAAATCTAACAAACAAGCATTTCATTTCAAAGAGTAAAAATTACAGCCGCACGTTCTATATATTCACATGCACTGATATTTATCTCGGTTATGTTGGAAAAAATCAACTTTAAAAAAGAGAAAATACTGTACATATCATAACTTTATTTAGTGTGGTTAACAATTGAATTTACTGAATGCTGTGAAAAAGTTATTTGTAAACATGAACAATTGAGTTTGCTTCATTGTTTCATCCATTTTTTCATAAAATATAAAACTCAGGCATAAGTAAAGATAAATATTTTGAGCAGCTTGATTGAAACAGAAAATTAATATTTAAATTAACAAATTATGTAAATATTTGTTACATGATTTTTAAAGCAAACACAGATCTTAATTGTCACATAACAAATACATCTTTTTTTTAAGGAAAAACAAAACGGATTCAGAGGATAAGGTCAAATATACAATAAGTAGCACATGAGATGTGTAAAGTTTTTGTTTTAATTACTGAACCATCTGGAACTAGATAAAAGTACAAATTATACTTTTTTAGGATACATGTGTACACGTAAAAAAATGAATGACATTAGCTTAATTACACCCTGGGAAAAAATCTGCACATATCTGGATTTTATTTATCCACCCAAACAAATGTACATAATAACATATAAACACACATAATTTAGAGTGTAATCTTAAAGGTGGAACATGGACACAAGCAACATCTAGTGTTTGGAGGTGGTAGCACAACAATAGAACACATTTTCCAGCCATTAGGGTGTCGTTTACTGACATGTGAAGTGACCAGCCAGCACCGTGTCCAGTGACGAATCGTACAGGGTAAGCACTAATTTCTACTAACAGGTTTATTTTACAACATTCACCGTATTTACTGTTAGAACATCTTCTGGGCTCAGAATCAGCTGCTTGACCCAGTTCCAGCCTCGCTCTGCCAAGCGGACTTTTTACCACAACAGTGCCCCCTATTGGCTGGTAGATGTAAACATAAACCCAGTGTCAAAATACATTTTTGATTGTTAAATTTTTTAAAATTAAATTAAAAATTAAAAATTAAAATTTTTTATAGGAGAAACTGTACATTCATTTTGCTCACCTCTAAATGCCCCACGGATGCATTATTTATTTCAAAATATAGCTTTTTATTTAAATGTTCCATATTCCACCTTTAATAAAAACTCAAAAAGACACAGATAAGTTTTTTGTAACATTTCAGTATTCTTGTTATACATAATCTTCATCTGTATAATAGCCCTGTTTTGACTGCTTTTCAGGCACTGAGCCATTATGATCCATCATCAAAATGTTTATAGGTCCAAAAATCCTATAAAATAAAATAAATATATAATTTTGCAACATCACTTAGCAATAAAAAGCAACACGTCATACATGAGTAAAACAAACAAAACATTAGAGGCCTTAATGTACTTCCAGTACATACCTGCAGTTGTATATAATCATTTTGAGACTTGTTTATAATCCGGAGCACAAACATTTGACCTTTAATCCCTTTTTTATTCTGAGACACAAAATAGTGCAAAAGTGAAAAGCAGAGATGATCCATGTCTGAAGTCCACCAGCAGATTCCTGGTTTCCAGTCATCAGGAGCTGAATGTGCAGAGCTGTTGCTTTAAAAAAAATCCACTTGAGGTGAACGGAAACAAACCTATTTATTTAAATGTTTTCTTTTCACCCTCTCTGTGTGTAAAAGGGTAAAGAGGTGGTCTAGTAGCATCAAGAAACAAGCGCGGTGAACGAGATGCAGATGAACAGGAGACAGGACGAGAGACGTATAAAATAAGTCCCTCCACAGTCATCAGCATTCTCCTGCAAAGACAAACATTGACTATTATTTTAATCCCCCATACCAAAGTCATGTGACCACACAGGGCACAATGCAACTAGTGATTTACTGACCTGTGGGTGATAGGAGTGGCAGGATTCAGGGCGCCTACGAATTTTCTGGGACCTCATCCTGTCACACTTCACTGATGCATTATGTGCAGCGGCGTCAAGGACAAACATTAGTTTTCTCTCACAAAAGGACAACACACACGTGGTAAATAAATGGCACGTTTCTAAGATTCATCAAAGAGCAAATGGAGTGAGATAAATACACATCGCCAATTAAAATAGTAACAATGGTAAGCAAATGACATCCTGTGCGTTCCATTTGGGAGTGCCACAAGGGTGATTGCTGGGACCACTGCCTTTCTGATGACTCTCTGCTGGTGTGATGATGCTGGAGTTTCAATGCATGTCGATGACCCTCCATGTTGAATTCTCATGGAAAGTGAAGAGTTGATAAAATAAACTTAACTCTTGGTTAACCTTCTTTGTCACCTAAAACCCTAACCCTATTTAATAGAATACACCTAAATGAGTGCTGATTTGATTATTTCAGTTTATTTAAAAATAACCAGTGCTCACTTGAAGATTGCTCTAAATTATATTACATTAAAAATGTAATTGGGTGTGTTAATGAACTGCATCTTTTGTCTTTATTTATATTTTGTATGAATTTGACATCACCTGCCAGGATGTACAAGAGGAAAACAACCAGTGGCTACATCTGGCACAGCCCTTTTTGTTACAGGTTTAATTCTTTACGAAGCCAACGAAAGGATATACTTGACTTCCATGGGCTCCAAGGTGATGGGTGGGTACTGTCTGGAGCAGTCACAGTCTCCTTGCACCACCAGCATCAGCAGGTTGCTCTCTGGTACCTGCTGCACCACAAACATCCTGACAGACAAAATGCTAAAAGTTAAATTTGCTGACACATCTCAGAAATAAATTAAACATATTTGATCTATTTTTATGAATGAACGCTGTTCCATTGTTGTCCCCATGAGGGCGCTCACTCTCAGCTGATCTGTGATTCTTTGCCTCCCACAGTTTTCCCACTTATTACGTCTTTAGTTTTTTATTTTCCACATGCCACCCAGTTCGTGGACTACCCCCCCCCCCATCTAATTTTATTCCTCTCCACCTTTTTCCCTCTCCTCGACACCTCGTATAAACAGACACTGCAAAGCTGTGGAAAATGTGTTTTAGAAGGACAATTTAAAACAGCCAATAGGCCTTAGAGTGGTGTGTGTGTGTGTGTGTGTGTGTGTGTGTGTGAGCATACAGGAATGAGTGTGTGCTTACTTCTGACATCGTCCACATTTAATAATGCTGTTGGTCTCTTTGACTGACGGCTCGTAAACAAAGCTGGGGTACTCTGTGTCACACGGCTGCAACATGTTCCCTCTTTTCTTGTGAACGTAAGCTACAAAGAGAAACGAAGGATGAGTTCTTGAGGGCAGGACTACAGGCTGTGACCTGTAGTTGGTGACTGATGGGTGAAAAGGGGGTTAGGGTCTAAAAACTCACACTTTAGCTCAGGTTCATATACGCCAAACTTGGTTGAATATGGTGTCTGCATACAGATTAGAAACCAGACAGAGGAGCCATAATGGCTTCTTAAATTTTACATGTCTGGTTGTGAATTATGTTTTTTTTTTGTTTTGTTTAACTACTTTAAAATTCCATTAGCTCCAATAAAAGTCTAAGCTCGGGTTTTGTTTTGAAGGATTTGGCAGCTGCGTCCGTTCCCACTGAAAGGCTTATATAACCTGGCACGCTAAATTAAATTCTGTTTGAAACATTTTGTAAACGCCGCACGTGAAACTCTAAAACGGAAGAGTGGAGTGCTGCAGAGCAATGATCTTCCTCTAAAACACCACAAGACAGATACTCACACCCACTGACGGATGGCTTGGCTGAATGGAGGGATGGATGGTAAAGATGTCAGAGGTAGTGATCGACGGGGGTGTGGTGAAAAAGGAGGGTGAATGTGTGATTCGTGGACCCACAGATGCAGACAGGTGAGGAGATAAATGTTATAAAGACTTTTAGTCTGATTATCATTCTCAGAAAAGAAACACAGCAAAGCGATATTTAAGTTTGTCCTGGGGGTTGTGGCAGCAGAAGAAAAACGAATAACAAACAATAACAGAGTAGAAAAACATTGATAATAGCAGAGCCAAATTTTAGTTCAGCGTGAGCTCACCTTCACCAAAGCTGTCCATGTGCCAGAGGCTACAGATATTGAACTCAAGTAGAAACCTTCCAGAGGAGAGAGTGAGTCAATTAGGCAACCATCATTAAAGACCACAGCAGATTGCATACAGCATTCAGAAACTGGGTCAGAAACCAAAGATAAACCTGGGGAATAATAAAACAGGTCCTCAAGTTATACAGCAGTAATGGGCAACTTTCAAAGCTCAGCGATTCTGACTCAAAGAATCAAATCACCTTAATGTTGGAAGATGGAGATGTTCCAAAACTTTAGAGCCATTAGGTAATTATTTATTAAGCCACTTTCACAGAGGGTGGGTCTGATTTCTTGTTGTTAAAGGCATTTTCTTAAAGCTCATGGATGCAAAATGGACTGTTAGAAATGTGTTATAGCTTCATTTTTCCTTAAAATGATTCATCTGAGATGATTATTCTCAGTCTCCAAAGCTTTGGCTGGTTTGACAAATGACCATTTTATTTTTGTCTGATAAAGCTGTGAGAGGATTTGCTCTAACTTCATAAACCCACTGTGGAATAAACAAAAACACATTTTATCTAATAATTGCTCTCCCTGTTTAGTATGAGTCATTAAAAAATAATAATAATAAAACAATTGTTTATTTGTACAAAGCCAGTTGCAATGTCTTAATGGTATTAGTCAATAAAGATTATGGGAAAAATCTGGGTGTAAATATATTTGAACAACAAAAAAGTATATTTAAATTTCTATCCATCCAACCTTTTTTAGCCGCTTATCTGGGGTCGGGTCGCGGGGGCAGCAGCCTAAGGCGACAGGCCCAGACTTCCCTCTCCACAGCTACTTGGGCCAGCTCCTCCGAGGAATCCTAAGGCGTTCCCTGGCCAGCTGAGAGACATAGTCCCTTCAGCGTGTCCTGGGTCTTCCCTTGGATCTGCTCCCAGTTGAATGTGCCCGGAAAGCCTCACCAGGGAGGCGTTCAGGAGGCATCCTGACCAGATGCCCGAGCCACCTCAACTGGCTCCTTTTGATGTGGAGGAGCAGCGGATCTACTCTTAACCCCTCCCGGATGACTGAGCTTCTCACCCTATCTGTAAGGGAGAGCCCAGTCACCCTACAGAGAAAACAAATTTTGGCCGTTTGTGTCTGGGATCGCGTTCTTTCGGTCACTACCCAAATCTCGTGACCATATGTGAGGGTAGGACCGTAGATAGACCGGTAAATCGAGAGCTTTTCCTTCTGGCTCAGCTCTCTCTTCAGATCGGTACAGTGCCCGCATCACTGCAGACGCAGCACCAGTCCGCCGATCAATCTCGTGCTCCATCTTTTCCTCACTCGTGAACAAGACCCCGAGATACTTAAACTCCTCCACTTGGGGCAGGACCTCATCCTTGACCTGTATTGAAATGTACTTTTTAAAGTCAAATCTTCATGCGGTTGGATTTACTAACAAAAACTGATTATTTAAACCCCAAATCTTGTTGAGTACTTGGGTGAACTTTTTTTAACCAGGCCTGACTAATAGTGAACATCATCACTAACTTAATTTTATCCATCATAAAAAGTGTAAAAATGTTCATTTTTTACCAGGATTCCCATAGAAATAAGACCATTCCTGTAAAGTTCACATTTAAATACATTTAAAGGTTGATTAATCAGAACCTTCAAGCCTCATTTAATAATAAGAGACAGTCCAACTACCAGGACACGTTTCTGTGTCTTTTACCTCTGAAAGACTTTGAGGTTTGCTGTGTCTGCTGTCTGCTGCAAACCAGTAAACTACATTTACATCGCTTTCATGACGCAGAGTAGCCAATTCTGGTTGCCCCTAGCAACACTTACAGTAGGAAGTTGGAGAGGAACCACTTGAAGGTTGAAGCCAAAGCATATAAGGGCTGCAGAGACAGTGGAATAGGAGGATTTTACTGAAGAAACTTATTGGGCTTTTGTGGTGATATTACAGCTGTATTAGTGGTGAATGCACCAGACATACACTGAGGAGTGGGCGTGCGCCGCTGACAGAATGAGAGCTGGTCTTGCACATGGCCTGGTAGTCAAACAAGGACACCCTGAAGGAACAGAAGCAAACACAGTTGGTCTCTCGGCAGCAATTTTACTGACTTATTGATCCTTTTGACCTTCTGCAGGCACAAGAACCTCAAATAAGAAAAACGGTGACCTGAGAAAAGCAACAGCTTCCCATTTTAATTCTTTTCCCACAAGATATTGAGATTTTTTTAATAATATTTGGTTCTTGTGCAAAATAGTTACATAAAACACTGTACCAAATGAAGTGTGCTAAAATATTGCTTAAAATGAACAAAGAAGTAAAACATCAAAAGAAGACGGGGGAACCCAGATCTGTCGAGCTCAAAGAAAAGGAAAAGGTGTGTGTTAGAAACACCAAAAGGAGAGAACAGAGATTCATTCAGCGTTTGGAGAATAAGAGCGCCAACCGAAGTAGGAAATAATTATAACTGCATCTCCTGATTAAGAGACTCCTGCTTGTGACACAGCACGAGGTGGAATAATCGCATTCATTAGCAGGATTTAAAAAGACGATGTAAGGCCACACCAGAACAAATAAAATGGCACATCACATCTCAGACTGAGAACCTGTTGGGGTTATAGGCCCCTCTCATATCATGACAGAGACAAAAACTTTACAAACACAACCAGCCTGTCAGGCTCTCACTAACAGGTCGCACCTCTTAAACATGCCCATTCTGATTAGCGTGGTCATCACCGACCCGTCAGTTTCACCAAAGAACCGCCCCGCCTGTCAGGAAAGACGAGGAAAGCAGAAACATCTTCATTATGGCCTCATCCTCATGTCACGTGTTAGAGCTGCTCTAAATCTTTTGTAGAAAATACAAAAAACGTTGTAACTGAAACCTTTGAAATTATTTCTTTAATATGTTTTTTTCTCAAACCTTCAAGCACATGTAGGAATATTGACTTTTAATTAAAATATTTCAATATATTTGACCTGTTTATCAGTTTCAAATGAATAAGATGTTAACTATGGCTTCCAGGTCCAGAATGTTTTTTGAATATAAAAAAAGAAAATATATTAACACGAAAAACTCCAAAATTTCTCACTGATGAACAAGAATTCCAGAGATAATCGCCGCCGACTCATTTCTTCTTCATAAACTGCCAGTTTAGGAAGCGTGATCCTTTTATTTTTAAATATTTCTTTCTTTGTTCTGAATTATTTCAGAGTTTACATTTGAAATAATTTTTGAAAAAGGGATTACAAACGTTTAAATGTCGTGTCACATAACTTAATTAGTTCTCTTTTATTAAAGCTTTGATGGTATGTGAGTCCATTTAAAAGTTCAGCATCAAGTAAATAAAAATACAAGAATATAAAGACGCAAAATAACAGGAAGTATGGAAAGTTGTCCCTGCTCCTGTTTGGATGTCTTCTCTGCTGCTTGTTAACAGAATAAATTAACACAATTTACGGAGCTATTTAATATCCAAATGCATAAATAATAAACATATAATTGTTTGGAGCTGCTCTCATGGATGTATACCCTCTGCTGTGATTTCACAAAGACTGACAGCTTCAAAAGCTTTCAAACAGTCAAGTCAAAAGCTGAAAAGCACTCCAATTTTACCACCTCAACACAAGTGTGTGTGTGTGTGTGAGAGCTTACATCACTGCGCTGTTTAGAAATCAGGACAAACCCATTATTGTCAATCACGTAGCACTCGATGTCCTGATTCACGAGACAGAGAAACCAATTAGTTAGAAAGAAAAGATGCAAATCTTACACCGACTCACAAAAAGATGCAAACAGCTGATTTAATTAAAATCATCAAAACACAAAGTGGATCAAAACAAGTCAGATTCTGCTTCAGCAGATGAGCTGCAATTCCAGAGTTCCACCTCTCTGGAACTTGATAGTAGTGAGTTTTTGTTTGAAAGAAATCTAAAGAAATAAACTCACAAATCTGTCACAGCGAAGAGGACAGAGCCCTTCCACAGTGGAGCACTGAAGAAATCAGAAACAGAAAATAGTTTACTGTGTGTGTGTGTGTGTGTGTGTGTAATCTTTGCGTTTGAGGAAAAAAAGGAAATAAAACCAGAGGAGGTCATGTTTGTGTTAATTAGGACATCTTCAGAGCACATGCTCTGTGGTTGTGAAGGCGTCATGCTCAAACGTGTCAGCATCGTTGCTCTATGTGTGAGGGGAAGAAAAAAGTGTCTCGCATGGTGAGACATTTTTAATTTGTGCAGAATGCAATAGGACCAGCTACCTGTGAGCGACTTGTTAGCAAGTCTGAGCGTGCGTTGTTTCTGTGTGTGTAATTTGTTTATTCTAGGTGTCAAGCTGACTTCACAGATCTCAGCTGGATGATGAGTGGATGAAGACTTTTAGTAGTACTGAAGAATGAAGAGAGAAGAAACATGTTCATACTTACATCTGTGTCGTTTGGCTGGAGAGACACAACAAAAAAAAGTAAAAGTATATTGTTAAAACTCATTTTGCCCAGAGCAAACTTCACAACTGTAACGTAATGAAGTTCATTATTTTCAGCTCCACACAGCTGCCCCTGTACACAGTAACACCCGTGTAGAAAACGCCAAGGTCGGGTGTTCCTCAGACTGTTTACATTCCAGGAGAAGAGTCAGAAGGAGAAGAAGAACGCTTTTCAATAATCAAAGTACTTAATTTGTGATTAAAGCTATTCGAAACAGATGTTGATCAATAATAATCAAGTGAATGATCTGTGGAATAAAGATGTCATGATTTATGTGTTTAATGAAAACAGGACTACTGCACAGACAGACTGACCCTCATCTCCATAGAAACGCATGACACATTGTTCCAACCAATCAGAGCTTTCGGCTGCCGCGAGAGAATCTGGCTTGTTGACTTAAAGTGTCCAATCCGATTTACTAAAACTTATCAACAATTCAGAGATATAAAACAAGGCAACGCCATTTTAAGCTCAGTTCCATTTTGACTTCAGTTCTAGTCACCGTCATCCCAAAGAGAAGCACAGCCTGGCCAGATGTGTTTTCTTCTTTAAACTAAGAACTGTGAAGTTGGAGATTTTCGTTGTTTAACAACCAGACGACATCCTTTCAAAATAAGAGCACCTGCTGACGCTGCCGATGGTTACCTGGGTCGACCCTTCAGACGGGCTTTGAAACGCTGCGATCACTGTTTCGACCAGCTCCAGCGCACATCCGAGGTCTTCAGACCTGGCATTTCCTGATCTACCTGGGAGACCCCCACTGGGTACGTACACGGCAAAATAGCAGCTCATGTCATCACTTTATAAGCCTCGTGATATCTAGTCATAACAAAGACTACCAGATTCAATGACGTCAGCCTAAGGAGTCTGAACCAACCACACACACACACACACACACACACACATCGAACATCACATTCATTTCCAAACAACACAGAGGTAGTCCTGATAGATTGTTAAGAATTTATAATTAAGAAATTAAAGATTCTTAAACGATCCCAACTCTCTCTCTTTTCTTGTCTCAAAGTCAATACAGAGTGTTTCATTAAACTCCCTGATGATAAAAACAGCCCATCTTCTGATTATAACAAGTGATCTACTTACAGTGTATTAAAATACAACTCTAGATAGTTACATCACTCGATTTCGTTACAGCATATTCCCCCCAAAAGTGAAATTTTGTCTATTGACATAATTCCCAGAGTTAGATAAGTGGGGAAAAATACAGCCATTCTCCTGACTCGGCTGTACTCCTTTAGCTTTAACTTAGCATGAAACACAGTAAGTGAATGCGACCAACGAGCCTTGTGAGTAAAAAAAGTTCTTAAAATCACTCAGTACTGAAACTAATTCTGCTTGGTGACCTAAATAATCACATCGACTGCATGTGAAAATAAAATGTACCGCACAGGAATTACAGGCGACATTTTAGACTTGGGACTGCTTTATGGCAAAGTAAGATTCCGCCAAAAGGTGCTAGGACATTGCGCAGCGCTCCCAAAGATCCGCACATCATCGTGCTGCTTACCAATCGCTAAGACAAAGAAAAATAACAGAATCAAGAACTTCACGGAGACTATGTACAGTAGTTTGAGTAAGTTACGTTTGTAATTCGAGAAAATGTACCAGCGTTTAAGGTTGTCGGTCAAAGCATGTCCTTGCTCCTTTGGAGGGATGATCACAGCTATGTTTTGTCATAAAGTAGTACCAAGTCTAAAATAATGCCTGTAATTCCTTCTTTTTATTTTCACATGCAGTCAGTGTGATTATTTAGGTCACCAAGCAGATTTAGTATCACTACTGAGAGATTTTAAGGACTTTTCTTTCTCACAATGCTAACTGATCCCATTCACTTACTGTGTTTTATGCTAAGCTAAAGCTAGTGGAGTACTGCTGAGTCAGGAGAATGACTGGGCTGGCAAAAAAAGTTTTTTTTTCCCCACTTATCGAAATCAGGGAAATATGCCAACCCTTTAACTTTACATCATGAGAGGAAGAGTCTGTAAATATTTTTGGCTGGTGGTTTGTTTTTGTGCATTAGTGGTCATAAGTGAAATCATAAAAACTTCCACAGTTCATGGCTTCGATTCTATACAGGCTATACATCACAGGCATCATGGTCAGGCTAAACAGAGCATGTCCAAGGGTGAAGGAAACGATTCATCATCCTTTTCTATCCTATTACAGCAACATGTCAGTCTATGTGCTTCCCATCACTGGAATGGACTGAGAGGACAGAGAGGACAAAGTGTCCCTTACACAATGTGGAGGTTTGATGACATCATGAAGATCTGAATATCTTTTGTATATTCCTTCTGTGTTTCTTCTGATTGCATTTTTAGGTTATTTTTTTCAATACAAGAAAGGTTTATTTTTTTTAATCTTGCTGACAGTTTCGACCACTCCTGCGGTCTTCATCAGAGCTAGTCGCTAATTAGCGTCACTTCCTTACCCGTTTACGGAACCATGAACAGAGACGATGGGATCTACACATTAGATCATTCACGGGACCGTGTCATCGGTGAGGAGAGTGCGGGCAGCAGCTTTGATGAAGACCACAGGAGTGGTCGAAACTGTCAGCAAGGTAAAAAAAAAACCTTCCCTGTGTTAAAAAAAGAACCTAAAAATGCACGGATGATGTGATGCTTTACTTAATGCATAAAGTTAGAATTTGGCAAATTGTAAACTTGTTCTTGACTTTGAAAAGAAAGATTTAAATAGGGTTTATGAAACTGGCCAAAACATAGTTTTAATTTTTTGCAAAGTGTAATCAGTTTGACGAAACTGCTCAAATGACTGATTTGCTGCATAAATAACACACCCAAATAGGCAAAGTTCAGAGAAAACAAGTATTTTAAGCTGCTTTAAGATCAAGTCTTAAACTTTCTCTGCAAAATCAAACACCACAGTTTTCATAAATCAGAATAAAAAAGTTAATGTGGGGGCAGCAGTAGCTCAGGAGGTAGAGCGAGTTGCTTCATGATCGGAGGGTCACGGGTTTGAGTCCAGCTCCCACCAGGGGTATTCTGCTGATGTGTCCTTGGGCAAGATACTTCACCCAACTTGCCTGTGTTGGTGTTGGTCATAGGGGCCAATGGCGCCAAATGGCAGCCTTGCCTCTGTCAGACCGCCCCAGGGCGGCTGTGGCTACATAGTCTCTTACCATCACTAGCAGTGTGTGAATGTGAGAGTGCATTAAAGCATCTCTGAGTGTCCTAACAAGCGCTATATAAGTTTGATGTATTATTATTATTATCTCATGGGCTGTATAGGATTGTTCCTCCAGCTTTAGGTGAAACAAAAAATCTAAATAAACTCAACATCATTACTAAAATTAAGATGTTCTCTATTTTATATAATCCATAATGGGGCTGAAATTCTGATCTGTAAGGAACTTCAGACTTTAATTTAATCTACAAAACAAAACCAAAAACAACGCAAACATTCAATGTTTATTCTGTAACTGATGACACCAGTGTGTTTTAAATGGTTATTGAAAAGTCAACCAATGTCGGATTATATTTAAAATCCTGCATATGTTGGTGTTGAATTGATGCAGATTACCAATCCCATATGCACCATAACACTCACATAGCATGGTAAAAAGCTAGATAATCCCTGGGTGAGCGCATTAATTCAGAACATGTTACAACCAGACAGTTTTCCTCCTCATACCAGTCCTTGAGTTTTATCTATTGAAGCGAACAAAGTAGAAGAAGAAAAAAATTATTTAATTCTTCATTTTTCAAGTCTTTTGTTCTGTGATTCACATCTGGGGGACTCAGCCGTTCTGAGATGTCAATAGATAAGTTTTAAAGTAAATCCATTAATTTTACTGACCTGTTCTTATTTGTGTGTGAAATGTTTATTATGGAGTTTTAAGTATTTTCTCCAGTCTTCTGCTGAAATATAAAACGTTAACACAAGAAAACATTTTTTCAACAACTGTTTCCTTTCTCATTTAATGATAGTTTAAAATGTTATCAAATCAATGCAAATGTTACTTGTTTATCATCACCATAACCAATGTTTTTTTTTTACAATCCATCACACTACATAAATGCATTTGAAACTTTAAAATCAATAAACCATAATTTTGACTGATCATAAGTTAGGTTAGACTATAAAAATGTATCTTTTCAGTATTTCCTGCATATGTGGCCTTATTTGTCCAATGTTCAGCCCTTTAGGCATCCTATTTTTAGTCTTCTTTGCTCCTGTTGTGAACGTGATTGCTGTTGTGACACCATGGATGTCATCTCGGAGAGGGTCACTGGACGGTGTGGAGATGTTTAAAACCTGAATTGGCTTCACTGGAGGACTTGAATGATTAGTTACAGACTTCAAGGCAGAGAGGAAAATTATCTCTGCCTGACCCAAACAAAGTCTTGTTATCTGAATCTGACGCCATGGCAGCCTTGTGAATGCCAACAACAAACCCCCACGAAGGAATGCTGACAAATGCTGTGACCCCCCCCCCCCCCCCCCCCCCCCCGCCTTCGGATTGGTGGACTTCAGCCTGGCGAGGTCATCAACCTGCAGGTGTCAATGTGCTCTGCGCTCCTCCCAAGATCTCCCTCCCACCTGTGGCTACAGTGGCTGAGCGCCATAGGGCTGCTCTCGTTGGGGAAACAGGATGCATTTGTTTTGCATAGTAAAGCTACGCCCTGCCGGAGTAACTCTGGTATGCCTTTTTTCCATCCCCCAATTTATCCTCATGTGACCCCCTTTTCATCTAATTAACAGTAGCGCGACTCTTGTTGCGAATGACCACAGTACCAATTCTTCTGTACTGAAACAATTGCCTCTCGGGGATGATTAAAGTTTTTTTGAATTTGAATATCTTCCCCACTGATAATAAAGGCATTTTCTATTCTATTCTATTCTATTCTATTCTATTCTATTCTATTCTATTCTATTCTATTCTATTCTATTCTATTCTATTCTATTCGAAAAGGAAGATGATAAAAACAGAAAACCACCAAGTCTTCTCTGTGAGATGAACAACAAACTAGGGGAAGAATGGCATAAAAGTCTTGTGATCAACATTACTTCATCATGATTCTACACTTCCTGTCAGATAAAACATATAGGGAATAGACAAAAAAAAACAGGATTTTATTAATGTTTCAGTAAAATATGTTTGGGTATATTCAGTTCATAAAATGATCATTGCAAAAAGCTCTCTTTGGTAGGACTCTAGTAGGTCATGCCGGTCTCATCCTCCCCACTGATAGGATTGACGGGGCACACAGCGGCATAATCCCTGATGGAGAAGGACACTTAAAATAGACCAAAGAGAGAACTTCTTGAGCACATATGCAAAGAAAAAAATAACTGAGCACATACAGCACACACACAAACCCCATGAAATAAAGATCCAGTGCATGACAAGTAGATAAGATGATTATGTAAGCTAGCTTAAGTGAAGAGAGAGAGAGGGAGTGGAGGAGCCGAGATGAGGATGAGACAGGAAAGGGAATAATGATGAAAAGAAATAAACTGGGAAAACTGAGGAGCAATGGGGGAAGACATCCAGACCCTAGAAAAGATTACAAAAATAAACTCCCTGTGTCGAAGAAACCTGGTTGGTAACAAGTCTGTTGTAAATTATATTAATGAACTCCAACTGTGTGAAAGTAGAGAAAACAATGAGCACGGACAAAGATGCTGCACGCACGCGCGCACGCACACACGCACACACACACACACACACACACACACACACACACACACACACACACACACACACACACACACACACACACACACACACACACACACACACACACACACACACACACACACACACACACACACACACACACACACACACTAACAGAGTCCAGCTGTGGTGGCTCTCCATCATTTAACACTAGCCAGAGGCCCTAAATGGCCTTTTAACTGCTGTCATTTACAGTCATGGGAGCAGAGGGGGAGAGGGACCAGGCCATAAAATACCTGCTACCGCCAGCATGTTACACCAAATTAAGCAAGCTCTCCCTGTTTTCGCGAAGGTGTGGAAGGTTACTCACATCCTTCACTCTGCACGGCCGATTCTGAAATGCTGCGTATATCACGCAAGACAAAAACATCTCTCAAAATGACTCTAAAGGCCCCAGAGCGCACACCTTTAATGGCCCAAACAGCAAAAAATATTGCATTAAGGCAAAAAACAATTAAACTAAGTCTAAAATGCAGTAATTATCAGTTAATTGAGCCATAAATGTCCTTGTCCAACACTACTATAGGTTGTTAAAGTAACACAGAAGCACAGAAATTAATGTGCTGAAACAGTGGGTTCATTTTACATAGAAAATGCTTCGAAATATTCATGATAATTCACTGGACGTGTGTTAAATGCATTAAAAACACTCTTAAAACTAAAGTAAACTCTGTAATAATTAACAGGTGTGACCACATAGACTTCATAATTCACAGGAAATGAAGCACAGGTTATGCTATACTCATGTAGGCTCCTAATATTTCTTCTAATCAACACTGAAAGCTCAAAGTTTCATAATTGTAAGAACCAGAAAGCATACCTCAGGCTAAAATAACTAATACTACTTTTAGTAGAGGTGTGACTCAATTAAAACAATTATAATTAATTAGAGGATTTATAATTTATTCATTAATCTTGTTTAATTGCATTTTAATCGTTTGGGCTCAAAGACGTAAAATTGTAACGTGTTATTTTTTCTAATTAATTAACCATAATTAACGAGTTAAATTCCCACCCCTAATATTTAGACATTTTTTAAATGAAAGACTGTTTGAATGATCATTCAAGCAAACTGAAAAAGCTTCTTGTCACAATGGTGGGTTTATTAAATAGGTTTGAAAATTGTACGAATATTTTGGTTCATTGTCCATCCATCCATCCATCCATCCATCCATCCATCCATCCATCCATCCATCCATCCATCCATCCATCCATCCATTCTCTTCCGCTTATCTGAGGTCGGGTCGCAGGGGCAACAGCCTAAGTTGAGAGGCCCAGACTTCCCTCTCCCCAGCTACCTGGGTCAGCTCTTCCAGGGGAATCCCAAAGAGTTCCCTGGCCAGGCAAGAGACATATGGGCCTTATCCACTAGCATCGGCTCCACACCGCCCGGATAGCCCCAGCCGGCCCCGGTTGAGTCCACACATCCTTGCGTAGGAATGCAAAGGGTGCAGTGAGAGATGTTCTCTCCTCCTAGGTAATCAGTATGGTAATGAATTGTACATGCCTGAAGCCCACATGGGTTGATTCTACCCACCAATAGGAGGCTTCCCCTAATGGGAGGCGTGAATTTGAGCCGGCCTATCAGTCAGCAGTGGGTGTGTTGGTTCTGGTCAGCCTGAAGCAGACCTCTTCAGGAAGAGGGCTGAAAAACAGTCCAGTTGCACCCTGAAAAAAAGCAGGCTATGCTAACGTGGACACTCTCTATGCTATCCAGACCATGCGGAGCCGATGCTAGTGGGGAATGCCCAATTGTCCCTTGAACGTGTCCTGGGTCTTCTTTTAAGTCACCTCCCAGTTGGATGTGTCCAGAAAACCTCACCAGAAAGGCATCCAGGAGGCATCCTAATCAGATACCCGAGCCACCTCACCTGGCTCCTCTCGACGGTTCATTGTTATTTTAGTTATATGTTAAATTGTAAATGGCCTGTATTTGTATCTTAGAATTCTACAACCCCTCAAGGCACTTCACAACACAATCGGTCATTCACCCATTCACAAATCAATTCACACAAATGTGATGATGGGCTATGTAGCCACAGCTGTCCTGGGGCACACGGACACAGTCAAGGCCTGCCATACACTGACGCCACCATAAGTCGGGGCGATAGGAGTGCCACCCGTACCCACGGAAAGTCTCAGCAATGCAGAGACTGCTCAGACTGGGATGCTGCTCAAGGTGAACCTAGAGGTCCTAGCAGCGATCCCAGTGCTGGTGCGCAAAATGGATGTGATCTTGGAGAAAGTCACTGCACAGTATGAGCAAGTTTAAACCCAATAATTGGATTTATGGAGAGACTGAAGACCAGTTAAGAACTAAAAGGCAGAAAGGAAATTATCTCTGCCTGCCCCAAAACAATTCTTCTTATCTGAATCTGGCGCCCTGGTAGCCTTGAGCTGCGAGAAGAAAAATCCTCCACGAAGTTATACGGACAGATGCTGTGAAACCCGCCATACACCCTGCCTTCGGATTGGTGGTCTTAGCCTGGTGAGGTCACTAACCGAAAGAGTCGATGTGCTCTTCATTCACTCGAACTTCCTCCAACCTGCATACAGCAGTGATTGAGCGCATGCATTGAGGCTGCGGCTCTCTCTGGGGGGAAACAAGTTTCCAGCCCCCCCTCCTGCACCTACCCATCGGAGTCTCATGTCTGTGAACTGTCTATTTTTGTGTTTTTATGTTGAGGTGTATTTTTTGCATAGCAAAGCTACCTTCAGTCGGGGGTAACTCTGAAATGCCTTTTTCCCCTCCCCCCTCCTATCCTCATGTAACCCTTTTCCATCTGCATGTGGAAGCGCGAGGCATGCCCACAGTTCAGCCTGAGTCTATGTTGTGTCTTGTCTTGTTATGTCAAATCTTGGACAGGTTGTCCTGAAACTGTAAATTTGTTGTACTGGGACGCTGGTACAATGACAAATAAAGACCCTTGATCCCTTGAAAAAGAAAAAGTTATAGAGCTTGGGTCACAAAGAGCAACAATAAGCCCCAAAGGATTTAGTAAGAAACAAAGCAAATAAATAAATAAATAAACAAATGAATAGTTAAATATTACCGGTGTGACTATGTGACTAGTTATTTCAGATTTTATTTTTTCCCCCGGCTTATTCCAGTTTATACCATACTCAGAAATTATAAAATAATGAACTGGAACAACCCCCAAAGTCAGAGAATGTTTTTTAATCCAACTTTGTTGATGAATCTAGCAGCTCCTTGTAATAACAACAGTAGCTGTGGTGGAAACGTCTTTATTTTACAAGATAAACTTTTAGAGGTGCATCTAAATCGATGTTGTGTTCAGACAGTTGTATATTTTCTGAGGTAATGGAACACACCGTGATGTCCCTCCTCCACACAGCATAGGCATACAAGAGTAGACGCTACTGCCTACGGTTCTACTTTTTATAAACTCTATGGTTAACAGGATGCTTTGGCTAGGTATTAGCTCCATGGAGATCTGAAGCTCGAATGTAGAAAGAATGCCAGAATGAACAGGAAAATACGAACGAGTGCAGTTAACAACAAAAACAAATGAGTTCACGAATTATCGTTCAATTAACACATTCGGGCACAACACTGCACCCAGGTCTATTGGTTCTGCTCTAATACACACTGCTGTCTGTCTCTCTGCAGTACCACAGCTTCAGTTACTCTATAATCAAGCCACCCAGCATATATTGTCCTTGTTTTCTCAGCCTTGTCAGTGGTCTTAGCCTGTTTCTGTCCTTCTGGCCCATGCTTCTGTTTCTGTGCCTGATCCTTGGGATTTCCCTTTTTTTCTTTTCCCCGTCTTCATTTGATCAAACCTTTCCGTATTCCTTTGAGACCTCACAATGTCATATAGAACCAGAATAGGGTTTCTCCTTCCAATCTCCTCTCAGAAGCATATTTAATATACCAGATTTAATCCTAATGATTTTGTTCATTAGTCTGGGATATCTGTGTTTTAGTCTGTCATTGTTAAAATTTAAAAGGCTTATTTTCTTCTATGATGAGTGAAAACACATCAATAAAGATAAAAACATAAAGTTTTTGTGAACAATATCATTAACAGCAATCATAGTGAGACGGAGGGTCCTACTTGAGCTGCGATGGCCCAAAACCTGGACTCAAGCACCTCCAACGACATCTGGACCCCAACAGCTGTAGTGAGACAAAGACACAAAAATATCAGTGAAGCAGAAAAAATAACAAGTGCGAAGGATTTATTCACAAAAGTGAAGCTGATTATGATTCTTCTTTGGAGCTAAGTGCAGGAATCTTCTGGTTAAAGTCATGACCCACAAATAAAGGCAATATTAAATGTTAACTTTGTGCCTGACTGAAGAAGACAAACAGGATTGAGTGATTGTAAAGCTACAGATCATAGACTCATAATTGTGTGAATTTAATCTGTGATGATTTCTCCTTCAATCTTCCCTTGTGAGGTTTAGGGAAACATCGTAGTTGTGTTTCACATAAAAGAAATCTGATGGTAATGAGCGACATTATAAACAACATGTGCAGATTTTTCACACCAAAAATGACCGGGATGTGGAGCAGTTCTTATTTTTTTAATATTTAAAGGTTCCATATCATGATATTTTAAACCTTTGAGAACAAGTACAGTACATGATAAAATATTACCATTGGCACTATCGAGATGCCATTGATCTTAAATAGGAGTTATTTTTGTCAGCCTGAATTTATACCCAGAAATAAATGATAAATGACCCGCACTTGTATAGCGCCTCTCAGAGTAAGGACTCCAAAGCACTTTACACTACAGTGTATCATTCATCCATTCACACACATATTCACACACTGATGGTGATGAGCTACGATGTAGCTACAGCTGCCCTGGGGCACGCTGACAGAGGCGAGGCTGCCGAGCACAGGCGCCACCGGTCCCTCCGACCACCACCAGCAGGCAAGGTGGGTTAAGTGTCTTGCCCAAGGACACAACAGCAGAGTTCTCTGTCCAGAGCCAGGATCGAACCTGCAACCTTCCGATTACTGGACAACCCGCTCAACCTGTTGAGCTACTGCTGCCCAAAAATAAAATGGTTAGCTCCACCCATGCCCACTCTAACATTCACAACAGCGTCTTGGACGGGTCGCTTGCTATATTGACTATGGTAGTCCAGTAGTTAATGTACCTGCCTGCCATCCTAATTTTGCCATGTGCTGTTGTGAGTTCAAATCCTGGTGTGGGCAATAATCTATTTAGCCATCTGAAGCAGATTTAATCTTTTTATGTTTTAGTTTTTTTATTATTATTCTCTGCAAAATATTTTGTGTCTCTAAACATCTTTAAAATTGGTCATTTCTAAGCAGCATTTTAGTTGATGCTCTGCTTGCCTCACGTGGAATCTGAAAATCCTTTCACAGTAACTCTGCAGCTTGAACTATTCTTAGCGTGTGTCAAACTTCTCTGTGCCACTCTATCATGAAAATGCCAAGAATTAGAATGCATTTGTGCATGACTCACATATGTGCTCAGAGCAGAGCAGTTGCTTAAGTCAGCTTAGGGCCATTTGTCTGTCAGCTTTTCTGTCTAAATTTTAATGTGAAAAAATAAACTGTAACCACACACACGCACCCACACACACACACACACACACACACACACACACACACACACACACACACACACACACATACACATACACACACACACACACACACACACTCACATACACACACACACACACACACACACACACACACACACACACACACACACACACACACACACGCACGCGCACACACATCCACCTCCAAGTGCAAAATTTTACTGGAGAAACATTCAGAGCAACAGAACTTAACAGATCAACCATTTTAAGACATGATAGCAATCTAACTTTATATGACAGAAATGTGCACACAGCCCAGCCACAACCCCATTGAAAAATTAAATATTTAACACCGGTTTCCTTTAGCCGCAATTTCTGTCAAAACTTTTAATTGCTAAAACGCTTCCTGAGTGGTGTAATCGATCAGAGTGACTAATAATAATTAGTCTCCCTCTCTTAATGTGAAATTACCTTTCCAATCCCATAAGGAGCAGCTTTGTTCATAGAAATGAACATTAATCTCAATTATACTGACAAAATGTTATTAAGTGATAAATTATAGATCACCGCAGTTAAAAATATACCTTAAGTGACAAGCCCTCATGAGGATACACGTATTATAAGAGCATGAAAACATGTTTTAAGGCTTAATGCATCAGGTAATGTGTGGTTTTTTTTAGTTTTTGTTTTTGTGCATCATCGTTTTGTCCATTTTGTTTAAAATCGGTTGTGATGTTGGGCTGCGATGGTAATCAGCCCATAATCAGTCACACAAGCACAGGGAAAGGCGTTGGCTGATTGGAAAGTGTTTATCAGCTCCTAGAAGGTTGTTCAGTAATGTCACAAGTGTTGGTGTCTACAGATTAACACGCACAGGTGATTTCAATTTCAGTCCGGATTAATGTATTAGGTATTGATTTCCCTAGTGAAATACTTAACTACAAATTTGTTTGTGCAAGAAATTCCTTTTTCATATTCTCCTCAGTGATTCTGACCTTGAAGTCATCCACTGCCCCAGTACCCTCTGATTAAGACCATTAAAGAGGGCAGCAGCATTAGAGGCTGAGAGGTCAAATCTAATTAAAAGTGTCTAACTGGTCCCTGAATGTATGTCTGCAGTTTGCAAACATTAAACACTTTAAAGGTTGTTCAGCTTGAAAGAAATGAAAGAGTCGTAGTACCCGGCCCGGAGGGTTACCGGGGTCCCACCATGGAGCCAGGCCTGGGGTTGGGGCCCGTGAGCGAGTGCCTGGTGGCCGGGCTTTCGCCCATGGGGCCCGGCCGTGCCCGGCCGGGCCCAGCCCGAACCGGTTACATGGGCTCATCCAACTGTGGACCCACCACCTGCAGGAGGAACATGAAGGGTCTGGTGCAATGTGGATCGGGTGGCAGACCAAGGCGGGAGCCTTGGCGGTCCAATCCCCAGACAAGAAAACTGGTTTTTGGGACATGGAACGTCACCTCGCTGGCGGGGAAGGAGCAGGAACTTGTGGCAGAGGTTGAGTGGTACCGGCTAGATATAGTCGGACTCACCTCGACACATAGCATTGGCTATGGAACCCAAGTCCTTGAGAGGGGTTGGACTGTCTCCTTTGCTGGAGTTGCTCCGGGTGAGAGGCGGAGGGCTGGGGTTGGCTTTTCGTTAGCCCCAAGACTCTCTGCCTGTGTGTTGGGGTTTACTCCAGGGGACAAGAGGGTAGCTTCCCTGCGCCTTTGGGTTGGGGAAAGGGTCCTGACTGTTGTTTGTGCTTATGGGCCAAATATCAGTTCAGAGTACCCACACTTTTTGGAGTCCCTGGCACGAGTGCTAGATAGTGCTCCATCAGGGGACTCCATTGTCTTGCTGGTGGACTTCAATGCTCACGTGAGCAATGACAGCTTGACCTGGAGGGGTGTGACTGGGAGGAACGGCCCGCCTAATCTGAACTCGAGTGGTGTTTCGTTATTGGGCTTCTGTGCAAGCCGCAGTTTGGCCATAACGAACACCATGTTTGAACATAAGGATGCCCACCGGTACACTTGGTACCAGGGCAGCCTAGGTCGCAGGTCGATGATAGACTTTGTAGTCGTATCATCTGACCTGCGGCCGTATGTTTTGGACACCCGAGTGAAGAGAGGAGTGGAGCTGTCAACTGATCACCACCTGGTGGTGAGTTGGATCAGATGGCAGGGGAAGATGCCGCGTAGACCTGGCAGACCCAAATGCATAGTGAGGGTCTGCTGGGAACGCCTGGCAGAGGAACCTGTTAAGACGGTCTTCAACTCCAACCTCCGGCAGAGCTTTGACCGCGTCCCGAGATCAGTGGGGGACATTGACTCCGAGTGGGCCTTGTTGCACTCTGCGATTGTTGAGGCGGCTGCTGCTAGCTGTGGTCGCAAGGTGTACGGTGCCAGTCATGGTGGCAACCCCCGTACCCGCTGGTGGAGACCAGAGTTTCGGGGAGCCGTCAGGCTGAAGAAGCCTACAGAGCGTGGCCTACAGGGCGTGGCTGGGCTATGGGTCTCCGGAGGCAGCAGACAGGTACCGGATAGCCAAACGGGGTGCAGCAGTGACAGTTGCCGAGGCAAAATCTCGGGCGTGGGAGGATTTTGGTGAGGCCATGGAGAAAGACTATCGATCGGCTCCAAAGAGGTTCTGGCAAACTGTCCAGTGCCTCAGGAGAGGAAGGCAGCAACTCGCTCACACTGTTTACAGTGGGGACGGGGAGCTGTTGACGTCAACTGAGGCTATAGTCGGACGGTGGAAGGAATACTTTGAGGAGCTCCTCAATCCCACCTATGCACATTCCGAGGAGGAACCAGAGCCGGGAGACCTGGGGATGGACTGTCCAATCTCGGGGGCAGAAGTGGCTGAGGTAGTCAAACAACTACAAAGCGGCGGAGCCCCGGGGGCGGATGAGGTTCGTCCTGGGTATCTCAAGTCTATGGATGTTGTAGGGCTGTCATGGTTGACACGTCTCTGCAACATTGCGTAGTCATCGAGGGTAGTTCCTGTGGAGTGGCAGACCGGGGTGGTGGTCCCCATCTTTAAGAAGGGTGATCTGAGGATGTGTTCCAACTATAGGGGGATCACACTCCTCAGCCTCCCTGGAAAGGTCTACTCCAAGGTACTGGAGAGGAGGGTCCGATCGATAATTGAATCTCAGATTGAGGAGGAACAACGTGGTTTTCGTCCTGGCCTTGGAACTGTGGACCAGCTCTATACCCTTGCAAGGGTGATGGAGGGGGCATGGGAGTTTGCCCAACCAATCCACATGTGTTTTGTGGATTTGGAGGAGGCTTATGACCGTGTCCCCAGGGGCACCCTGTGGGGGACGCTCCAGGAGTATGGGGTGGGTGGCTTTCTGTTAAGGGCCATTCAGTCCCTTTACCAGAGGAGCCCGAGTTTGGTCCACATAGCCGGTAGAAAGTCGGACCTGTTCCTGGTGAGGGTTGGACTCCGCCAGGGCTGCCCTTTGTCACCGGTTCTGTTCATTACCTTTATGGACAGAATTTCTAGGCACAGCCGTGGTGTGGAGTGTGTTGAGTTTGGTGGCAGGAGAATCTCATCTCTGCTTTTTGCGGATGACGTGGTCCTACTGGCTTCAT